CTTTCTTCTATAGGGAAAACAAGTTCAGTGTGTTATGAAAACACTGATGCACAGAGTTCACCAGTGGGCTCCTATTAATATGATAAATTCAGTTTTTGAAAGCTCTGGTCTTGTGTTACTTCGGTTAAATCGTTTTCATTTGGACTTATTCGTCGAGCGCTATTTTCGAAAACCCGAAAAATTTTGACGGTACATTAAATACGACCTCGTTTTTTCTTAATTACCCTCTTGGATATTGCATTGGATCAGCACTTCATCCCGCATGAACAGTAAATAAAAAACGCGTTATCTGAAGGACTGGAGGATTGCCGCATATTATATATAAATGGCGGTAAAAAGCTAATGGATTCTTCTTCATAAAGGAAGATAAGCGCGCCATGTGTTGCGCGGCTCGCTTTTATTGCTGCAATGAATGTACAGAGTGCGGAAAAATATACTATACTCGAGACAGATACCAATAATAATAAAAAAAAAAACGTAGCTCCGTCATTTTAGCTATAAATATATAATACCATATACGGGGTGTTTCGCGGTTGATGGTATTTTTTGTCTTTTATTTTTTCTCTATCGATCCAAAATATTCTTAACGCTGCGACTTTGCCGCTTTTTCGAAAAAGTAGTATCAACATTGAAATTTTAAATGGGACACAATGTATATCATTGCATTTTCCGATCCGCTAATATATTATGACTGTTTTTGGAAAATGCGTTCCTATACCTCTCTTCAGCGGTTTTCATTATTTCCATCATTTTTCCGACCAAAACATGTCCCCTACACCTAAATCGTTTGTTTTCTTAAATAAAAGCAAGTTTCTATGAAAACTGGATTACTTTGGCATAATTCATCTTTTGGGTGGCCGAAAATTTTCAGGAGAGGGTATTTTCAATCGAACGAATGAATGAAAATGGATTTTCAAAGGAAATTTTATTGAAATAAGTTTTGCTTCTTAAAAGATAATAAAGTAAGTCTTTTAGTTTACGATGAACCATTGAAGGCAGCAAAATACGTTCAAATATTAACAACAGTGATAAATAATTTTCTCGAGAATCTTAGCCTTCACGAACTTCGAACCTCTTGGTACCAACTAGATAAAACACCGGCCAGTGTCGTAGTAATAAAAATTTAGTTGAAAAAAAACATAGATTATTATTATATAAAAACAATCATAAAGTATTATCGGAAAAGGCAATAATAAATACATGGTGTCTCATTTAAAAGTTTAATGTTGATACTACTTTTTCGAAGAGGCGGCAACGTAGCATCGTTAAAAATAGATCTATAGAGCATCCCTGCTAACTACATTTTCAGAACAATCTAATGTACTGTTCGCCATAAACGTCTAAGGTATCATCAACCCTGTATCTACGAAGACTGAAACTATAATGATGTGATCATCATGAGTTTAATTAAAAAAGTTTATAAATTAACAAGTTAAAATAAAACGAATTTCCACATTTTATCGAAAAATGACCGCAAGGACATGGCAGCAATCTAGGCCGACGAATAACACGTTCAAATGAGCGAGACCGGCAATTATAAATGTCCTTCGAGGACCAAGGTTAATGCCCATCGCACGCCTATAAATTTTTACGGCATGCAAATCGGGAGTAAAAAGAGTGTGCGGTATTTTCGATGTCTCCCCATAAAGTATAATTTGCTGAAGATTTGCATAGGTATTTAATAATCTGCATATAATACGGTCTTTTTCCACTTGGGTATAATACCACATTTCTAATTTGGCAGGGGCGTCTTTAATTCCAAATATCTGTCAAAAATTTTACACGACATTGACGGAGACGGCTGCCAGTGAAATGTAACGGATCGCCCGACAGATAGCGTTGTTTTTCCTGCGACGACAATTCCAGCGCACGCTTCGCGTATCTGTATTATGCACGACATTAACGTGGAGCCCGTTTAGATCGCATTCCTTCGTCGGTCAAACCTCCGCCTCACATCTTCTGACATTGTGCCTGCGTCTGATCGCAACGTTTTCCATCTAAAACGTTATTTATTCAAACTTGCATGTCGTCATCTGCGCTCCCAACGTGATTTTTGTTCTCTGCTCGCGGCACGTCATTGAGCCCAAGGTCGTCGGAAGTACCCAACAATTAGGTTGCCCGGAACTCAAATGTTTTGTTCGGTGACGACGTCACTCGACGCGGATAATCGATATATCGACTCGCGTGGCGGTTATTTACGGGGTGTAAGCAAAAGCGAATTATTAGAAATTCCCGGCTTTTAATGCGAAAATGGAGGTCTGGCCCGCTGCCAAGAGTCCACAAATTATTAAAAGCGATTCTGATCAGCTATTAAAGAATAAAGATAGCTCCTATGAAGGGGACGCGTCAAAATTTCTGTCCCTATTTCTATAGTGAAGTGGTTTTCGGTAAACCTCATGACAGAAAAGCATATAATCTTCGCACGGGAAAGAATGACGTCACTTTGACGTCTAATAATTCCTACCATGTAGCTACTAGATGGCTCTGGCTAACCTGATAATGCAGAAACTTTTGAAGTGTTGATTCAGTTTTATTCGCTTTTTAAGAAATATCTTCAAATTGGCTGGTAATATGAAGATATTGGAATATTTGTGGAGAAACCTATTGAAATAGACGCACTATTTACAATAAAAATAATAAGGTAAAAAAAACAAAACTGTTTTTTAAAATTTTAACTTAATGAGATACAAATGTGTCTTAGCATCTCATATCTCACATCAAAAGTCAATTAGGACCAGTTAGGTTAGTGTATCACAGTCCAAATATCTGGAAAAAACGGTATATGTAATCGAACTATATTTTTTTTTTACTTAGAAATCATCAATCTATCACAATTTTCTAAAAAAAAAACCAAAACATAACAGCAAAGTTACGGCATGGAATAGCGATATTTTATGGTGTAGCCAATCATCGTCTACATACATTCATCTCAAAAAAAAGCAAATCCAACTTTTCATTTCAATACTTCAAAAACAGCTTGAGCTATATAGAAAAAACCAGTTCGAAAACTAAACTTTATCTCGCTTATGAAGAACGTTTTACAAATGCATATTTGGCTCAATATCAGTATTTTTACAAGACCGCCGTGTATCTATGAATATAGAGTAAAGTCCATTGTCTCATTGGTTAGTTAAGTTATGAGAAAATGGTAAATACAAAAGATTGTTAGGATGCACAAATTAGAATTATTTCAAAGTATACAGGGTGGCTTAAAAAAGCGTGACGAATAAAACACAAAATTATAACATCACAAATTATAAGCACGTCGTATGAAACTAATAAGCAAGTCATGGCAGCTGTTCTATATATTCTTATTAAAGCATAAATGTACTAGACACATAGATGAAATATTCCTTTACACTGTAAAATAATTATCATAAAACTAATCAACACATTTTAAAAAAGAGAAGAGAAGATTAAAAAATTATACCTACAAATTGATATGACGGTTTCATTCACAACACTTTCGAAGATGATTTCTGAATGTAGGATGACCTCATTTAAATATGAAAATTTAAAGATATAGCAATTATTTATTAGAACAGTAAATAAAATGATTGGCAATACTAATTTCATGAATTTACAAAGTTTTGATTTCATAATTTTTGGATGTTAATTTGAGAGTTGTGCCACGGTGCGACGATGAAAAAAAATGTTGCGAAGTGCCGTTGATATGCACATGCGCATTTTACATTTCGTTTTCAACAACTCTCACTTCAAAGGAACCAATAATAATAATTAGGCAGATTCCCATTTAGATGTAGCATTTTTACAGCAGCATTAGTGTATGAAAATGGCTGTTTAGGACGAGCAGCTGTGGATAGATTTCATCACACAAACCAGTGTTGCCAAATGATCGTATTTCTCGTATTAAAAGGAATTTAAACGGGACAAATTTGTTAATCAGGGAACACTGAGAGCGACTGTAATTTTCATTACATACACGAACATTATTTTTACAGTGGGAAGAAATCCATCTACCAGCTTGACACGTGTTTGTTCCAATTTATATTTAGACCTGTCAAAGAAAGGGTTTTCTTTTATCCGAAACGACCGACGCGACAGCACAAAAGATAAATATAGCCGTATAACGAAAAGCGAAAGGAAAACCTTCCGGACACCTTTACCAATGAGTTTCAACCGTCTCCACAGACGACCTCAGACTAACAATCCGAATTTTTTTCAATTTGAATTGAATTGAAGTTGAAAGCATTAGGTATTCTTTAAAAAAATAATAAAAATTAAATTAAAAAATCAAACAATTAAACAAGACCTGGCCTTAACGTGTCGCTATGATGCATAGCCAACTGTGACGATTTTTATTTTTGACCAATTCTAACCTTAATGTAAAAAATAACCATAACATGTTAGATATTTTTGAAAGCAGCATAAAAGACCTTCCTTTTTATGAAATAATATACAGGGCGTCCAATTTAAAAATATATATAAGTGATATAATATATTTTTGTTACACCTTGTATATAAATAATTGTCATATTAAATCTATAAATTAAGTCCTACAATTTTTTGCATTGAACTTTTTTTTTCTAAAATATGAAATAAAAAAGTCAGAGGAGGTAACATTTAGTATAGTTGATCACCCGTGGCGCCGCTGATAAAACATTTAACATTAAAATTCAGTAGTGGTTAAAAACAGTTGGAAAATTGCAAAATAAATATTATATTTGCCGGTAAACGTTAATGGTTACAAGAGGGATTCCTTCGGCCCGTCGGTCAACCTTGAGGATACCCTTGCGTATTTATCTCCCACGCGGCCGCTCAAAATCTCGACAAATTTAACTCCGAACAGCAAAATTCGCGCACTATAACACCATAACGGAAGTCTTATAAATAAATGGAGTTATATTAATTACCGAGAACATAAACCGCGAAACCAGCTGAAACGGAAACGAAAAATTTATAGTTTAAACGCGCTCCGAACATGTTAATTAGAAGATTCCGAGTAATTAAATCTTGATCGCGTTAGTCACTGTACTTACCAATTACTGGAAACAAAACACCGATCTCTATGACAACCGGCGACGAAAACAATGCCAAACGACAACGTTTATTGATATTTTTCTGAGCCAATTAAAATGACTGACGTGTGCCGCCGTCGAACGGTCACTAGATGCGTGATAGTTCGCGCTGAAGAGGGACGAAAATTTCCAGCACCGCACCCTATTTCTAACGCATTTAGCGACTGAGGAAAGAACCGAATATTTCTTGTAGACTCGCATCGCCCACTGCGGTAAAAGGTGTATGTGTGTGTGCTTCCGAGGAGTGGGGAGCCAAAGTTCGGCTACCGTGTGTCACGATTAATCACCCGAAAGCTCTCTAGGTGACGTACACGATGTCAGCAACCAACATTACACTGTACCGATGCTATTGTCTGTGACCGCATCACGGATCAGTGACAGAGGGTGTCAACTTGAACAAATTATGTTGTAAACGTGTTTATTTATCTCTTATCAATTTGGCTAAGTAAACGAACAAGTTTGAAGCGATGGTTTTCCCGTGTACGCGAACGTGAAAATCCGCATTGCTTTGGGAGCTATAACCTAGACCTGTGATACACACGTGAAAGCCTTAAGAGCGGCACAAAATTCGAAATGTGCGACATACCTTCGTATAAATTTAAACCTGAACTCCACAAGAAGTATTTATCGAGGTTTCTGAACCACAGACTCCCCTCGTTTTTCGCTAGCATGGACACGAATAGGTAATTCCTCTTGGGATCAAAATGTTTTATTTGCAGTCTCGCGTTTCAGATCCGTGATTATATATTTCTGCTTGGCAGGCTTGGACGTGCTTGGCAATATCGATAAGTTGTCTCGAAAGAAACAAAACGAGATAATTGAGTGCATCTACAGTCTGCAAGTGGTCAATGAAAATGGTCTGTCAGACAATTTGTCAGTGCCATCTTTTACTACTAATTTTCAGAATTGGTCAGCGGTTTTCAAGGTTCTTCTTTCTTAAACACCAAAGATAACAGGAGCCAACCTTCACCCTACAAATGGTGTCACATTGCAAATACGTATTCCTGTCTTCTATCCTTACTGATTTTAGGAGATGACCTCAGCAGAGTTAATAAGGAGGAAATAATAAAAAGTAACTGTCATATTGGGCTAAAAAGCAGTAAGGCATCCTTCTCAAATTTACAGGTTTGAGGGTACTTCAACTTAGGAATGGCTCATTCAAAGGAGCAATAGAGGGGGCCGAGAGCGACATGCGATTCGTATACTGCGCGGCGTGTATTTCTTACATATTGAATGATTGGAGAGGCATAGATATAGAGAAAATGATGCAATTCATTTTGAATAGCATCGTGAGTGCAGAACACTTTTTGGCGTTAAATGTTTGGTGACTGATTCCTTTTCAGTCTTACGACGGAGGCATTGGGCAAGGCCCTGAACTTGAAAGTCACTGCGGTTCAACATTCTGCGCAGTTGCATCACTAGCTTTGAGTAACAATTTACACAGACTGTCGAAGCGCCAATTTCACAATTTGAGAAGGTGGTTGCTAATGAGACTGGAAACAGGTAAGGATTTTCAGGAAGAGCCGCTCCAAGTTGCAGCTATTTCATTCATTTTAGGGTTTAATGGTAGACCAAATAAACCGACGGACACCTGCTATTCATTCTGGACCGGTGGGGCATTGAAAATCCTAAATGCCTATCAGTTTATCGAGGCAGATGATAATCCCCAGTTTATTTTGATGACCCAAGACAAGTAAGCATACTAAAAGAGCTAAAAAAGTGAAACAATCACCGAAAACTTTTCGCACAGTTGAATAATTTGTGATTTGTTTTGCTCTTCTGACATTAACCGGAAATTAAAATTCTCCCCAAGTTATACCGTTTTTATAATATATGTTATTTATGTAAATTAAATTATAGATACGGAGGATTTGCGAAATGGATGAATGCCGTGCCAGATCCAATGCACACTTATTTTGGGTTGGCTGGGCTCAGTTTGATGAAGTTCGACAATTTGAGGGAGATGTTTTGCCCTCTTAATTGCACGAGAAAGGTACATGACCATTTGAAGACCCTCCATGCCGGATGGAGTTAAATAATTGTGATTCATTTTCAAAATGTATACATTTTTATTTAAGTGTTTTTGTAATTTTGTGAGAAATATAATTGAAAAAACAATGTCTTTTTGTAAAATCCTTATAAGGACAATCAGCTGTCTTTGTTGGTTATTCTGTGAGCATTTTTTAGAACCTTGTTCAACCTTTTGCCCACCAATTTAGGATAGGAATTATTTTTTATTAAGAACTCCTTGCTCTGATGGGAAACAGCACCATTCTTTAGCTGAAACTCGCACATTGCTTTTAAAGGCCTTAAAAGCTTTTCTCTTAATGAATTGTCATTTTCAAGTACTGCTAAACATATAGCTGCAGTCTCGAGTGTGCTAAGACACCCATCAGCTGGTTGGGTCCTTATTATATAATCGCTCGTGTTTTCCATCAATAGTTTAACTTGTCGCAAATTGTGCAGCACGGGACTAGAAGAATACATAGCCTTTGCTTGTGGCCAAGTGCCATCTAGAATAACCAAGTTGAGTGGTTCAGTTTGGTTTGAAATATTGTAAATATCAACTGACGAAGCACTGGGGTAAAGTAATAAGGTACTTTGGGCGTTTAATATACTCTTCAAATCACCGTGAAGGCCTGGAAAGTGTTTACCCTTAAAAATAAGGCATTTACCGGCAGCCAGGCCCAATTGTAAAATAGGGACAGTTCTAAGGCACCTTTTTTCTTCAGCAGGATGTTGCAAGACAATAATGCGGTTTTTGGGGTTCAGAGGAGGGCTTGGGATGAAGCTGCAATAGCAAACTGTTCGAGGTCGTCTGAAAAGTTCACGGACCTAAATGTTTTTTCAATATAAAATATTAATCATATATACTCGCAAGTAAAGCAAATGTCTCTCATTACAGGCGGCTCTGCCGGCAATTTTGCCAAATCCGAAAGCACATCCGACTCCAGTTCCATAGCTAGTCTCAAATTTTGGGTTAAAAATTTTGATTCGTTCAGTAGTTCAAATGGCACAAATATGAACCCATAGATAAATAAATGTTATGGTAAGTATATCTAGCGAAAGTATAGGCAACCATTCTTGCGAAGAAAAATAAGGTTTTAATATCAAGAAATAACAATCAAACGATATGCTGAATAACGCCTTGTCTTATAAGCTCCTCGCACTCGCTGCGTGGTAAGTAATGTCTGCTGTCTTTTTTGAGCAGAACAACTGTTCCATCACTTAGTTCATATTTGCCATAATCTAACAAGCATCTCACTTCAATGTATAGCGCTTTTGGAGGTTTAAAGTTAATGGCCAAGTTTAAGCCATCTTCTCCGATAGACCTCATGTAATTCGCGAGGGTCCTTGAATATTTGGAGAACCACTCCGATTCCAAGTTACTCAAGTTTGTTTTGATATCTGGTGGCAAAATACTTCCAAATTCCCATCGCATCGTCCTGATTTTCCTTAGCCTGTTGTAGTGATACGCTTGGAAGCATCGTACATTGCGTTTCAGCGCCGCATTGCCGATCCTTAAGGTCGGGTACAGCGCGTTGGCGGATGTGCCAACCGCCCCGCTTTCGTTAAATATCGTCGACCTGCAATACGACGCGTACTATAATTTTTGCAAAGCGCCCTTGTACTCGTACCCGTCTTTAATGTTCTGAGCGTGCAGTTCCTTAATTTCGTTCGCCACATCTTTCACCAAATCCACCTGAAACGGATTTCCGTTAGAACGAGGTTGAGTAGTCTTGAGATTACCTGCATTGTAGGGCGCTAACACTTCCTCGGACCTCGCCAGCTCTTTTATCAAATTACAAGCTTTTTCCGCGTACATTTTTTCAACTCGCAGACATAACCTTCCGAATTTTCCCGCGCATTTTCTCTTCTCCTTTTTACCTTTGTGGGCCCTTCGCCAAGTTCCTTTAGTCTTATTTTTCGCAGTTATGGGTAAGTTCCACTTAACGATCGTAAAGTTCATGTCGCCTAATTGCTAGTTCCACATAACGACGGCACCACCCACGCTGCAGCTTCAACGTCACAAATGGCGACCGCTTAAAGCCCACGACGCCCGAAATTCAAATCTGGGCTTGCACGGTCGTTTAAGATATTTAGGTTAGCTTAGCGGACTTTATTAACCAAAGTTACTCTATCCATTAATTACATCCACATACCCAATAACCCGTGATCATATATTTCGCGATTTATTCACATATTGTGGACAAATTTCAAGTTCTTCCTCTGAGGAACTTTCTGAAGAATCATTTACTATGTCACTATTAATATTAAATTATTTTCCATATTATGTACGTAAATAACCAATAAAAACAAATGCGTTCCACTTATAAAAGTCAATATAACTGATCAACTCTTATCGAACGCAAATTTAGCAGTTGAGGTCGTGATCCTTAAGCTATACGCGATCCGGCAGGCCTGTCGGTTCGAACTGAAAAGTCTGCCTGATGGACTGACCAGCATCCACACGTTCAGGCGAATATAAAATATCAGTCTCAATCATCATCACGGCATCTATTGATGACGACGCGTTAGCACTTCTCGGCTTAGTAGTTGCTTTGGATAGAAAGAAATAAAAAAAAAACGTACGGTATGGTGTAAAGATTGGTTGAAAACAAGGAGCGTTTTTGCTCAGTCTTAACTGACATATGCAGTTCGAACTGACAGGACCGCCGGATAGTGTGCAGCCGGCTTTACGGATGGTAAGTTGAACTTACCCTATATGATCGTTTTTTTTTTCAAAATATACGCGTCATTAGTGCGACGTCATAACTTTTAGTTAGGTTTTGACTGTATCTAAACAAATATGGCTTCCTTGGCATTTCGCGCTCTTTTAAATTTGTGTCTAAACATTTTAGAAGCGTTTTTCATAGTGATAAAATTGTTAAGCTAAGCTAAGTACTGAAACCACTGCAACCTACAAATTGATGTATCTGCTTTATAAAAGAACCTCTCGTATTCTACATTTATTTCGAATACCAAACTAAAATTCATCGTATTAAGATCGTAAATCACAATTTGATAAATACCGGTAGAGTTCTCCAAAGTATATACCGTTTTTACAACTTTTTATGGTTTTGATTTCGGAATGATTTTAAGACCCGCCTGTTGTAAAGCGGAAGGGACCATTCTTTTCAGCACGTATACCATAAGCCAGGGCCGTATTTAAAATGTTAGCCGACAAGAACGGGGCCGTGCGACTGTTGTATTCTAAGAGTAAGATTTAAAATTAAAAAATGGATTTTTCACTGGACTAATAACAATTAAGGAATCTCACCGACGAAGCTCCAGCAGTGTGGTTCTGGAACGTCATTGTGGAATATATTTAATGAGAGTTACAAAGAGAAACCCAAGCGAGGTAGGCCTGCGGTTAAACCATTATAAAAATTGACCAAAAACTGGATTATGTCGTAAAAATGGTATATTGTTTAGAGAACTCTACAATAATGTTAAAGATATGATTATCGTACACAGAAACTGCTTTTACCAGAGATGGGCTCTTTTTCTCCGCAGATTTAAGCTCAAACTTTTTTCTGTCATCGTATCTGTATCCTTTTTTTCCTCGCCCACAAAATAACAGTGCACAAAAAAAACTCAAAATAAATTGTTATATCCCGTTATCTTGTTAGTTTTATCCGTTTGCTTTTTATTTTTGGATCCCTGGGGAAATAGATAAAACTCCTATTTTTCTCTGACATAATGATTAGTGCCTGGTGCCTAACGTTGTACCATAAAAGCAGCTAAAAATAGATTCTAAATACAAGAAATAGGTTTTTAAAATATAAGGAAAAAACACCACTAAAAGAAAACACCGACAACGGTTAACCTGTCTTCAAATGATGACGTCAGCACTAATGACGCGAATAATTAGGTCTTTCTAATTTTTCGTTCATTTCCCACATCCACGACGATCTCTTGCTATAAACTTAGTAAATTTCGAAATCAAAAAGCGTTAGGAAAAGAAGATTTTTTTAATTAATCGCTTATCATAGTATGGGAATAAAATCACAGATATATTATTGTATACAAATAAAATCGGTTTTAACATCGGAAAAGGAAAATTCCATCACTCCTAACGAAAATAATAAGTGGTTCGTCACTCGAGACTGTCCAATATACACGCTGCAAGGGGTACAATATCACAAACACTGATGAAAATATTTAAACGGCGACTACACGCCCCGAGGTCGAAAAACAACATAATGCTAAAACGAAAACACTTAGTGCGGTAAAATGAAAATGAAAAAGCACTACGACCGACAATACCAACTTTGATCACTATGTTACAGCTTTTAACCTAACCTTTAACATTAAACGGAACCGCCTCAAATAAATCTGGGCAAATTATATTACAAAACTATTCCCTGTTCTACCGTCAAAGTGTGCGAGAGACACTGCGCAAACGATACCGGCCACGCCCCTCCGCTCTAGCGAGCACGACGACGAGTGACTATTCCTAAAAACAAAAATCAAGGCCGGCCCCGATCGTTTAAGACGCGACGTCGATTTCCCTGGGCGACGCCAACGCCGGCGGCACCACCTGCGGAATAATGTTGTGCGACGGAGAGTTGCCTAGGGGCTGCCTGACGCGGTTCTCCGCGTTCTCTTTCGCCTCGCTCGTCGCCTGCTTGATCGCCTCCTTGTAGAGTCCCTTTTTTTTCTTGTTGTAACGCGCCTTAAAGTTGTCCAAGTAGTGACTGAGCTGGTCGCACTGCATCACCGATGACGTGGACGAGCCGTACCACGCCACATGCGCCTGGGGTCCCTGCGCGTTGCAACCGGATATGGTAAGGATTTTGCCGGGCCACCAAGGAAACCCGTGGATTTTGCCCCAAACCACGTCGCCCACCAACAGGCGCACACCTGAAAAGACCCCCCAATTGACTTTTGTTTAAACGCTCATCACAGTCAAACAAATAGATCATCGAACCAAAAAGTAGCCTTGAAATTAGTACCCCACAAAGTCTTTCCTTATCGAATATTGCAAAACTTATTGATGGAAAACTAAAAACTTATTTCCTAAGTCATCCACTTTAAATAATATTAACAATAATAACATATATAATACAATACCTATTATAATTTACATTAACAAACTATGAACTACGCAAGGACTTTATTTGAATATTTTTAGGCAAGGCGCATTTTTAATAATATATGACAGGTCATTCATACAACGAACTCCGTCGTGGAATGCATATTAAAATGAGGAATGGAACATTTGCTCTTCTTTACAAATATAATTTCCATATAGCTATTAAAAATATTGAGACCCTGACTATGCCGATAATACAGGAATTTATGAAGCAACTATAATTTTTTTTAGAAGGTTCATTAACGTGCGCATGTGCAAGATTTAAAATATCATTTTTAAGCGGCATTCATTAACCAACTTGACCGCTGACATCGTCGATAAGTCTGAATGCGGCATTTTTAAGAAATGAATGAATGAATGAATGAAAATAGCGCAAAATGAGGCGCATCAATTTTACGCGCAATTCCATAAGCCAGAATTAAATTTGATCTTCTAGTGAACTACCTGATATTTAGCCAATTTAGCTGGTCTAACATTCTCTTTATAGGAGTATATCATCTATCAGAGTTTAATATCATTCGAATAACTCTATTTGTCATACACATTCTAGTGGATTCTGATGAAACCAGAGATACACTGTTAAAAAACCATATTTTCTTGCCAATCATTTAGCAAACATATTCGAGATGATTACCAAAACATAACTGTGGATCTAAGATTATTCGTAAGTATTTCATTTCAGAGCGAAACTTAATTTTATCCACCGAATACCTCGAATTTCTGACAGGTAACTTTAGAACCAATAATCATGCATTTGGTTTTTGTGCTGTTTAATTTTAGTTTATTTTGACGCAGCCATTTTATAAATGCTGCATTTTGATATTCAGTTTGATACCTATTTTCTCGCAATCCATTCAACAGACTGAGAAAAGCCTGTCACCAAATAAGTTAAAAAATGAGTTTTTTTTATAAATAATGAATAAATGCGGACCCAACTCGCGTCTCTGTGGCACACCCTATTTGCTATCCTTATAACTAGAAACGGTATTCATAATCATAGCTGAGATCTGTCAGATAAAAAGTTTTTTATTCAGTCTAGTCCTAATTTTATAATAAGAATGTCTCTGTCAATAGTCGCGAAAGCAAGTTTTAAATAAACAAAAACACTCACACTTAGTTTTTATTCATTCATTTCGTCAATTCGGCTTGGCATTTTCCGCCACCTGTTAAATACATCTTGTATACGTTTGATTTGAAAAGGAAATGCGATATACTTAAAACGGACAAAGTCATATGGACAACTGATCGACTTAGCTAGATTATCTACAGAAAAAAAAACATTGCAAAGTAGTTCAAATGTACCACCACAATTTCAATGCGTACAATGAAATGAAATGAAAATATTGTAACGTGTCTACCACTAAATTGCAAGAATACAAAATTAGCAGCTTTTAAAGTGCGAAATAATTGATATGCGTAAAATGCGGCGCAAAACATCTGATTTAATATATTTATGGGTTCAACTTCCATGAAAAATGCGAATAAACTCAAAATGACGAAAAGTGAACTTTGAAAGTGCAAAACGAATTTAACATCAATATTTTTTGAAAGAAAACGAAATTTTTCAAAGAAACTTCCACAGGCTACTGTAATACTTTTTACAAAACTTCTGGATTCCTCCTGCATCGGTTTTTGCTGAGTCGAACTTGCTGATGTTTCGCTAATAATCCCGTTGGCTTCTTCAGAGTTTGACTGAAACTGGCTCGTATTTTACTTTGTACCTGCTTATATATTGTTTGAGGGGAGCGGAGCTAAATGAGGGACATAAACACCGTTTCGGATGACTGATTGCCATATTGGTGGCAGGTAGAGTCCTGAGTCACGGTTAAGTTTGTTAGATTTTTATAGATTTCTATACTCTCTCGGATTTTTCGTTGGTAGAAGAACTGATTATATGCAAGAATTTTAGTTTTATCGAATAAAATTTTATGTCCGGTTTCATGAGTGTGTCGGCAACAGCTGATGAGTTTATTTGTCTTAGTCGTAAGGCTCTTCCGTGTTCTTTGAGTCTAATTGATATTTTTCGTCCGGTCTCTCCAATGTATTCTTTGCCGCATATGCATGGAATGCTGTAAACTCCTGGCATCTAAAATGGAATTTTGTCTTTGACGGACCGAAGTGGAAAATCTAGTTTTGACGTTAAACTTCTTTAAAACTTTTGATATGTGGTCAGTGATGTTTTGAATGTAAGGAAGGACCACAGTGACAAGTGTAGGATTGCTTTCGGCCTCATTGCTATTGGAAGGTTGTGGTGAAGTGTATTTTTTGATGGAACGCTTAATATCATTAATGTGGAAATTATTAGAGAGCTGTTCCCGACGTTTGTTCAACAGCTATGGGTCCTCCATTATTACCCATCATCGCGAATATATTTATGGAAGCCTTTGAGAAGAAAGCTCTGGACACCTTCCATCTAACACCAAAATTATGGAAACGCTACGTCGATGATACTTTTGTTATGTGGCCTCATGGTCAAGAAACCCTAGTAGAATTTCTTAGATAGTTAAACACTATACACCCTAACATACGTTTTACCATTGAATTGGAAAGTAATAATAACCTTCGATTCTTAGATATTCTTATCAATAGAAAATCAGACCTAACATTGGGTCATTGTGTTTACAGAAAACCTACGCACACAGACCGATACCTTAATGCATGGTCACATCACCATCCGGCCCAAAAATCGTCGGTTATCAACACTCTTCTTTACAACGTCGTAAAACTATCTCAGCCCGAGTCACTGAATCCAGAATTAAAACACCTTACCTCTGCTCTTCTCTCTAATAATTTCCACATTAAAGATATTAAACATTCCAGCAAAAAATATTCATCACCACAACCTTGCAGTAGCAATGAGGACGAAAGCAACTAGGGTTGCTACTGCGGTCCTTCCTCACGTTCAAAACATCACTGACCACATATCAAAGGTTCTAAAGAAGTATAACGTCAAAACCAGATTTACCACTTGTCCAAAAATCTCTCAACATCTTCGGTCCGAAAAATCGGAGAGTCTATAGAAATCTATAAACAACCTAACAATCTTAACCGCGACTCAGGTCTCTACCTGTCACCAATATGGGAATCAGTCATCCGAGACGGTGTTTATGCCCCTCATTTAGCTCCGCCCCTCTCAAACAATATATAAGCAGGTACAGAGTAAAATACGAGCCAGTTTCAGTTAAGCTCTGAAAAAGCCAACAGGATGATTGGCGAAACGTCAGCAAGTTCGACTCAGCAAAAACCGATGCAGGAGGAATCCGGAAGTTTTGTAAAAAGAAAACGAAATTATTCCGCTTTTGCAAAAGTACGGGATACTATAATATTTTCCATCCAAGTTTTGGGCTTATTGGTTAGAAAAAGTGAACTAGCTCATCACACAATAATAACTTAAAAAAAAATAGAATGGTATACTAGAAAATTTAAATATTATTCTGTAAGACGAGTGATTCGCAGCAGGACTATTGTCTCCAATCATTTTTTTAGATTTTAGCCATGATATATTGAGGTTTGTCAGTTCTGACGGTCACGTCAGTGAATGTATTCTGTTGCTATGTAAAAATGTACCCAAATACTAATGGTCGTTGAAAAAGTATACTATGCAACAGTTCTTTAGTCACTCGTTTATTAAACACTCGCTCCGTTCATGCGATATAGAACTGCTTTATAAGAAAACAACCTTTAGAAATAAAAATCTACCATATTAATCGGACATATTTTGCTAGACAAAATTGCATGCAGAAATTTTTATGCAAAAATACGCGGCTTTAAAACTTTAATCACGCAACATTTAAAACGAATGAAAACAGAAGAAATGTTGCTGTCGCTAAAACCCTGCCCCTTAGCGGAAACAAAATGAGACACTCACCGTCGGCGCCCATCGCGCTGGACAACGTGCGCGCGTTGATTCTGAGCATCAGGGGCTGATTGGCCGGAGGAAAGTCGGGCATCTGCTCGCTGTGCTCATCCGAACTCGAGGTGGTGTCCTCGTGGACCGTGCATGACGTGTACATTTCGTTTAGCCGTTTGAGGTTGATCGACAACTTCTGCGTGATGCACTGCTCTTTGGTTTCGTCTTGGGTCGAACTGCTCACCTGATTTTTGCGATATTTTAAAGATAATGGCGTGAAAGAAGGCCTCAATTTTCTTTAAACGGAGGCCTCAATAAGATTTTGAAAACCGCGCCGAAATTGGTAGGGAGTTGACAAAAATATATTGTCTAACAATGTTTCAAGGTATAAAACAAATGTCTTTTTTTCAAATCCCAGCTGCACATTTTACTCTGAGCTTTTCCATTATTTTTTGACATCCTACCTACACGTATACTGTAACAATGTATAAACAGGACCCCGGCGTCCATCGTTTTTTGGCGGATTTTTCGGAAGTCTTTTGGAAATCGCTACAAAATAAAATAAAAGTCCAAAACAATTTAAAGCTATTGACTTGAAATTTGGCCCTGAGTTAGAGTTTGAGCGCCATGAGGGGGTCTGGAAGCATTTTTAAATGTTTTTTCATATATAAAAAATCTATAAGAATTCTTGAAATAAACAAGACATGACATCGGGAGAGACTTTTTTTGACAATGACAATTTTTAGTGGCGTAAAAAACCGTCTGTAATTGAAGCACTGTCTATAAAATAATAATCTGTTTTGACAAGCTAAATACGCCATTTCGAGAACCATAATTTTTGCCCTTGCAGGGTGCTCGAGAAATTTTAACATAACCGGTCAAAAATCTCTATTTCCGGTGCAACGAACCCCTCATTTTGTTTGGGAAATGGCTTTCGGCCAATTTTTTAAAAAAATTAGTATGTTGTAGCCCTTCGCAGTTTTCTAGATATTGATGCTCAATAGTGTTGAGGCTGGTTCCCCTCTTAATTGACAAGTCAAATTCGATCAAACTGTTTTAAATAACATCTTGCAATTGTAGAGTGTTATCTATCACTATTTAATAATAATACATATAATAAAAAATTATGCGTTTGTGATGTAAAATTTACCTCTTCAAGGAATACACGAATACAATAGTCGGTAATTCGGAATCTCAATAAAAATATCGACTCCATTTAGTTCTCAGAATGACACGACATAGACGTAACGTACAATATAAATAAATATAAATTTCATTGTAGTTTTAAAATTATTTCGGTCAATTGACACAAAAAGTTTGACTGGTCAAGTCCACAACCCTAGTGATCCAAGGTGGACAAAGGGGAATTTTAACAATTTTCATATAATATTAACTGGCCCATTATAACTAAAACCTTTCTTTTTTGACAAAATTGTAATGGGAGAATTTTGCTTGTTCTATGGTCTTTTAAATGTGGGAATAATTTTTTATAAAGAACGAAACAAAACATTAATACTTAACTAACGTAAAACGTAACTTGAAAACACTTTCACAAAACTGTGGCTAATTTTTATAATCGATAGTCACAGAAAAACGATGGCCTTAAAACTTTGCAATACGAGGTGTGTTCAAAAAGTAGGGTGACTTTCATAATTAGGAGAGCTACGATTTTTTTTTATGTTGGTACACATGTCCCTAACATATGTGCACATTTTCAGCCAGTTTGAACGCTTACTTTTTTGTGAGACAAAAGCGTTATACATGTTTCCTGTGCTCTGCGATTTTCAACTGTCAAAAAAAAGGAACAAAGAATTTGCATGAAATTTGGTGTAAAAAAGTGGTACAAAGTGTTCCAAGATGGCTGAGAAGACGCCCATGATGAACCTCGCTCTGAACACTCCAGCATGTCTAGAACTGACGAAAGCATTGAAGAAGTGAAACCAATAGTGTTGAAAAATCGTGGAATCACTACCGGCGAAGACGTCGGTATCTATCTCTATTGGCTCGTGCCATGACATTTTTTTCGAAGTTTTGGGTATGAAACGTGTAGCAGCAAAATTTGTTCCGAAACTGCTTAATTTTGAACAAAAAGACCGTCGAAGAAGCATCGCTCAAGAGCGACGTCAACGATGATCCTTGTATGCTCCAAAAGGTCATAACTGGTGACGAATCATGGGTATATGTTATAACGTGGAAACCAAAGCCTAGTCTTCCCGATGGAAGAACCCAGAATCGCCAAGACCGAAAAAAGAACATCAAATTCGATCAAATGTCAAAGTTTTCCTTACTGTCTTCTTTGGTTATCGTGGCGTAGTACATCAAGGTCGAATGGTCAATAAAGGGTATTATCTTGAAGTTCTGCGCCGGTTGAGAGAAGAAATACGAAGAAAAGGTCCGGCATTATAGGAAAACAATTCATGGATTTTGCATCACGATAATGCACCTGCTTGTGCCCAACTTTTTCGGCAAAAACAAAACGACAATCATGCCTTAGCCACCATATTGACCAGATATGGCCCCCTGCGATTTTTTTCTGTTCCCATAACTCCAGAAACCCATGAAAGGAACGATTGAGTAGATAAAGAAAAAATCGCTGAAAGAACTTAAAGCTATACCAGATAGTGCTTACCAGAAGTGCTTCGTTGATTGGGAGAAACGTTGGCACAAGTGGGCGGCGGGTTACTTTGAAGGGGACAACATTAATTTTGAAAAATAAATAAATACTTTTCGATAAAACTTAAAAGTCACCTTACTTTTTGAACACACCTCGTACGCACAATTGTAGGCCAACAATACGGGGTATTGTAAATTAGAAACTAAAGACAAAAACAGTTATTCGAACCAAAGCCTTTATCCAAAACTTGACAAGTAAAAATTTACAGGGAGTCGAAATATCAATTTAATTTTCGAATTTTGATTTAACTTCACCACTTTCCAATGATTTTGGGTGAATTTGAGGATATTACATCCGATATAAATTTTGTCCAAATATTTAGGGGGCGCTACGCGCAGAATTGCTTTTTAGCGATTAACGTAACTAAAATATATTCTGCGCCATCCTATAGATCAATAAAATAAGCAAAATTCTCTCGTAACGATTTTGTAAAAAAGTAAGCTTTTTATTTATACAGTTGTTAAAATCCTCGGTCCAAATTTGTGCATTGACATCTAGAAAACTGGACATAGGGTGAAGACTTTTTCTTACCACAGGCAACATTAAATTATTAATAGGCAAAAGTGCAACGGCAGCGTACCTCGCCTTCCTTGTGTTTGCGGTCCTTGTCGTCCTTGTGTTTCTTCTTGTGTTTCACCTTGTGTTTCCTGCGGCGTGACACGTTGATGTCGAACGCCGGTATCATGTACCTGGGGGAGTTGTTGCCAAGACCGTGGCGGGGCGAAGCGCTGCCCACGGTGTACCTGGGACTGCCGTTACCCAAAGCGTACCTTGGCGACGTGCCTCCCAGATACAGTGGCGAACCGCCTAGTAGGATTTTTCGTCTCGCCTCTTTTCGCGCCCTCTTCATCGCCTTCCGCGCGGCCTTGTTCGGGAGGTTCAGCGGCGGCCTGCCGACGTTCACATTCTCCTCCGAGTCGTCTCCGTTTACGTTGTCTAAGTCCAAATTGGGAATATTATTAGCGCTCCCGTGGACGCTGGCACGCTCAGAAAAAAAACTACTACGGACCTAGGGGGTTGCGTCGCGAGCAGAAAAAAAAAGGTATAACGAGTGAGGTAGACATAAATCTATTGAGGACAAAATATACAACGGAATAAGGGCTATCAAATCAAGTAACCTATTTGAGCCGGTATCTTCAACACGGTGCCCTCGCCCTGCGGCCCGTATGATATTTTTATGGTCCTCGTGTTGGTGGTGATGCCGCTTGAATTCACAGCCTGCTCCGAATTCATCGAGCCCGTTTTCTCGTCATCTGTCCACTGGCTCCCGTTCGGACCGACGTTCCTTTTTTTCCTGCGGGAATTCGCCCATTTCAGATCGCTTTCGCACTATTTTTTTTTATACCGAATTTCAAACGAAGGCCGTGAAGCGCTATAGTATGAGTCATCACATTAAGGAGGAGGTGTTCATAATATCGAATATGCAATACAGATTCGCTTCTCTATGCAAGGATCTCCGCCCCTATTATACCTACAGCAAAGGTTAAAAGGGAACACAGTGTACTTGGACGAGAAACATAGTGCTTTTACAACCGACCCTTATAGAACACCTAGGAAATTATCTACCTACACTAACAAGCGAGATATAAGTATGGTTTCAATCTTTTTCGCCGAGCAATTCTTGAAACATGTACATAAAAAATTAGTACGGAGTAACAATTTATTACGTTCTATTTCATTACATTTCTACATAGTATCATTATTAATAATAATAATAATAATAATAATAATAATAAAGTATCAGTCACTTAAAAAATCAGCACTATCGCTACTGTTGTCACTTAGCTCAATGGTCAACTTCTTTTTCTTTAATTACTCACTTTTCACAGTTAGACCAGCTTTGTACTGATATTCAGAAATCATTTTCGTACAGAAATTCTTTAATTCCTTCTTTATTTCAAGAAGTATTTGGAATTTTTCTAATTTGGGGTGAGTGATACCAAACATTATCAACACATATTTGGCGATAATTTTAGCAACATTTTATTTTGAAACCATTCCTCAAATATTTCCGAGGTCACGTTTTCATGGTAATCCACACTTGAATCTGGCGCTGAAGTCAGTGCGTACGCGCTCCTAAAGAAATGCAAAGGGGTACTGAGGAGGGTGGCTGAGGAGAGGAAGGTCACGTTGGTCTGGGTCCCGGGTCACACCGGTATCCGGGGCAATGAGGCAGCGGACGCCTTAGCCAGAGAGGGCTCATCGCGTAGGCATATAGGGCCAGAGCACCGCTTGGGGATCGCCACGTGTGTGAGGCGGGGAGCTCTCGAAGCCTGGGCGAGAGACCGGGCCGCGGGGGGCTGGAGAGTTGCTCCGGGAATGAGGCAGGCGAGGCTTATGATGGATGGGCCCGCCCTTCCTCGGACCAGGGAGCTGCTTAGACTGACCAGAAGGGAGTGTAGAGCACACTAACAGGGGCCTACACAGGACATTGCAGCCTTAGGACACATCTTTGTTTGCTAGGCATTGGAGATGACCCGGAGTGTAGGTGGTGCATGGAAGGGGAGGAGACCCCATATCATCTGCTCACCGAGTGCCTTGACATGGGCAAGATTGGGAGTCTTCGGAACAGCCCTGATCGAACCGGACTCAGTGCACGGTATTGGGCTAAAGGAGTTGCTGACCTTCTATAGGAGGGGCGGCATTCTGGACGCCCTCTAGAGCGGCCTGGGGGCACAACGGGCCCATCTGGTGGCCTAAGTGCTTGGACGCCCGCGAGGGCGCTCCCCTTTAATACCAATACCATCTCTCTTAAAAATATAAATCATTTTCGTACAGAAATTCTTTAATTTCTTCTTTATTTCAAGAAGTATTTGAAATTTTTATAATTTGGGGTGAGTGATATCAGACATTATCAACACATATTTGGCGATAATTTTAGCAACATTTAATTTTGAAACCAGTCCTCAAATATTTCCGAGGTCACGTTTTCATGGTAATCCACACTTGAATCTTTGACGTTTTTGGCAGACAAAAATAAGGCATCTTCCACCCAACGATTTTTGGACCCAGCATGAAAAATAATTATGCGTTTTCCATGTGAAGGCGGCAGGTCTAGTACACACTTGTTACTGTTATCACACCATCCTTTTTTTACTGTGTTGTGAGTGTTGAACCACGGAACTTTGGTCATGTCACTTGTTTTTATTGCTGCTCCTACTTCCCCTTCTGAATTTCTTATAAAATTGTAAACATTCAAAACAATTTGTTGAGCATCCGAAGACAAATGGATCCGATTTTTTTTATTTGCTGAGGAAGTTCGTCTTCTAAATTCGTGGTCATTAGGTTCGACTACCACCTCCAATTCGTCTTCAAATTCTGCGTTATTTTCCATGTCTTCTTCTAACATTCATTCATTCATTCCACGGTCTCCACATTCTAAAGTGTTAAAAAACAGGAACCTTCAAAAAATTAATTGTAAAATTTTAATAAATATTTATCTGTATTCTTATGACGTATCTTTATCCACCGCGAATATAATGTATAGTCTTAAAGACTGTTGTAGTTTAAAGATCGAAGAACTATGTAAAAGACACAAAAACTAATGAAGAAGAATGTTGGTAATCGACAGCCACATAAAAAAAGATTGGATAAATGGAGTACACGTACTTACCCTTATCCATTGAATTATCCAGTGAAAACAGCCACAGTCAAATACCTCCGTAATATATAAGAAAATATTACAATTTAGATTAAACTCTTAAGAATGATACATATCACCTGATGTTAAAATAAACGCTTCTACTTATTCGAAAATACCCCGCAGCATCAATGCTTAATCAAATTTAAAACGGTCCATTTATGTTTAAAATAAAAATTTCAAGTTTCTACGGTTACGGTCCATCTCAGGCAAGACCTACTTAATGCAGAATCAACATCTGTCGGGATGGGTTTTACCACGGTCCTACGAAGGTCTGCGGTACTGTAAAATACTTAAAACGTCAAAGCATAAATGCACTATATTTTTGGTCGTATTATACCTTTGATAACCGGCTACAGATTTACGATCGGTAAATTGGTTTGGGAAATATCGGCGAAACACAGAAAATGGCGGATTTCTTTATTCGCCACTAAATCCAAAACAGTTAAATTGGCAACTGTCAAAAAGTGACAACTTAACGTTCATTTTTCTTATGACTGCCATTTTGGATTTGGACGTAAAATTTCCCGTTCAGTGATGCCTCACAAGTGCACAAACGATTTTATCTCACTTCGTAAAGTTGGGTCTTAATTATTTTATAAGTAGGCAGTGATTTAACATTAACATTAATAAGTAAGACATAACAGAAACGCATTAAATTTTCAATAAATCATCAAAGCAAAAGAAAGACTTCTCAACAAGTCAGATGTCTTGGGCAAATTACCAACTGTATGTTGATCCTCTCTGAGCTCCCACAGGCTAAATGTGTAATTGACTGCAGATGGGTTTTTGCTGTAAAAACAGACCCTGCAGGAAATGTCCCAAGATACAAAACAAGACTCGTTGCAAACGGATTTCCTCAGCCTAAAAGATACGTTAGCACTAACAATTTGCAAGCTGAAAAGAAGCCTCTATGGATTACAGCAGTACCCACGGTGCTGGAATGAAAGATTTAACAGATTCTTAACAACGTTTAACTTAAAGCGTTGTAAAAGTGACAAGTGCGTTTTTTTAGGGTAAGTCAATGATTTTAGAGTGCATTTGGCGCTCTATGTTCGAAGCAACTGCGTTGTACCGTTGATCTGCATTTATTTGACCACATTATATTTTCAACTAATTTTATTTTAATAAACTGCACTAACATTTTTTTAACTGTGTTGAATCCTTTAATTCTAAACAACAAAAACTTCAACATTATTAATTACAGATTTGCCAAACGATGTGGATTTGCACTGAGAGATTTTTGGCAATTGAGGACTGAACAAACTTAGCAAGAGTATTTTCGTTAATGTTCTACAAATATCCAAAACTTTTTGTCTCGTGGTTTCTATAATCTCGGGAAGGTCAAATTCAAAGATCTCATTCTTTGTGTGAGCTAAGAGTCAGGCAGTCAGAGGAACTAGGAGGTCATAATATTCGATCATTTCATTAAATAATGCTTGCGTCAAACTGCTGGGAACTTTTTAAGGTACTTTTTTTTTCAAAGAAACTGCCGCAGGCTACTGTAATACTCTCTACAGTCGAACTTGCTGACGTTTCGCCAATCATCCTGTTGGCTTCTTCAGAGCTTGGCTCAGCCAGTTTCAGTCAAGCTTTGAAGAAGCCAACAGGATGATTTTTATAACATAATTTGTTAACATAATTATAAATATTGATAACGTAATTAACACGTAACTTTACGAAGTGTGATGAAATATTTTGTGCGCTTGTGAAACATCACCAAACTGGAAATTTTATGTTCTTTCCAAAAATCGAAAAATTCAATATCGCGGCCATAGGAAAAATGAAATGAGTGCGAGAAACCAAAAGGCTACACGACATATGTCATACACGTTATCTTACTTGGCTTAAACAGTGTCTGAATAATGTCACCATTTTGACAGCTGTCAATTTAACTGTTTTGGATACACTGGCGAAAAAAAAATTCCCGTTTTCTGTTTTTTCCCAATATTTCCCAAATCAATCAATCAAATGCACTAAGTTTCCCGTAAAACATATAATAGGAGCGGATATCCCTGCGTAGAGAAGCGAATCTGGGACACATTGTATATAAGAGAGGACAAAAAAGCATTGTAATTGCTTATTGTTATTTTAATATTTAAAATATAAACCAAATATGTAGAATGGATAAAAATGGCCAAGAAATTCAAGCAGTGTGGTGCATAGATATCTTAAAAATTTCATTTATTTATTTTTCAAATATCATCCTATAAAAATAACACATATATTTTGATCTAATTCTTAGACTGGTAACGACGGCTAAACTATTTACACTTTTTCGCGAATACTGTTTCTATTAATTTGTCCTTTTTCAGCATCAAATAGCTCAATCACCATGACCATTTCGACAGCGAGGTGTTTATTTTGTTAATCCAATGTTGCCTATATTAATACTGTTATTAAACTAACCAAAAAATGCAGCAAAAAAATTTGTTTCGGTTTATTCCAGGGCAGTTTGATATCTGACCTTTTGTCGCGATATTTGTACTAGGGAGAGTTTGATTTTCACAAACATTTGTCCACTTTATTCTACTGAATGAAATTGCTCTCCTTTGCCATAATTAAAAAAACATTTTTTCATAATTACAACCCTCTTGTAAGAAATTCGCACTTAAGCGGGCGAGTGAATCATACACATCATCATATCATCATATTTAAAGTGTATTATGAAAGCTGGAGTTTTGTAGAAGTCGAAGCATTATTAAATGCAAAATATAATTTTAACTTTGTCTACTGCAGGGACCAATAAGAAGATTTTTACAGAGGGCCTTCTATTTCTTGAGTGTCATCCATCTACAAAGCAATTTATTTTATGTTTGGATTTGAGTCCGATAAGCTCTTCCTTTAATGCTAAACTTTCGGATGATTCTATAAAAGTACTGAGAATCGCCAATTATACCAAATGAACTGTTTTTTAAACAATATCAATATAAAAAATACAACGCAAACAAGAACTTCATATGAAAATGATGCAGCCATTCTTAATTTTACTTGCAAACTATAGTAATATTTTTTTCCACTAGAGATGTCATTTAGTTGTAAAACCGCCAATAGCCTTTTCATGATGACTCATTAATTATTTACCCTCTATCGTTTCACCGCCTCATTGTAGAGGTCGCGTTGGTCAAACATGTCTGCAAAAGCGGGCTATTCAGAGTTATCTACGATTTCATTGTAGGCTTCATGAAAATAACTCCGACGCCTTAATCCTGCTATTTAATAGCAACGGTATTTTCAGAATTGTTTCGCGCAATTAATCCAATTGCAATATGATGAAACGTAAATTGAAGGATTTATTTACTATATTATTTGCTGCGATTGTAGTTCTTTGTCAAATAGGATGGAGCAGTGGAGGCTTCTCTTGATTCCTTTCATACACACATGACGCGAGAGTTACCTGACTGTCCTTCTCGCCGCTCTTAAACTCTGCGTTTGCGTGAGGCGCGGGGGCTCGAAATGATCGGAACTAGATTCGGAATGATTGGGGGAATGCTTGGGATTTTGTACGGTCCTTGGGGCACCCTCTAAATTAACGGCGTCTAAAGGTTTCTCACTCGTTTCAGCCGCGTCCCAGTTTTCTGTAAAATTCAAAAGCTTACAGATACAGAAAACCGAATTCTTTGAATGAAATGCTATTACCAGGGTTTATATTTTCAATGCTATCGCTTTTGGTGACTTTCGGCCCTTCTTCCATCTCTTGCCGACGCAATTTCCGTCGAGTGGTGTTCAGATAGGTGTTAACGGACCGAGTGACAGGAGCGTTGCTGCCGCGTCTACTCGGGGGCGGCGGCGATGAGATTTTCGCCCCATCCGAGGACTTTCTCTTCCTTGACACATTCTCCGAGTTTTCGTTGCAAATACCTTTGCATTTTGAGCACAATACTTGTCTCGGTCTCAGTCTCACTGTCATTTTGTTGTTTTTGTATTTGCTCGGCATCTGAATGTTCTTCTTTTTAGGGGCATTGGGGTCCATGTAAGAGAACCTCTGATTTACCGAGTACAAGGGGTCATCGTCTGGTTTCTTTGACGGCACGGTGAACGCCGGGTTTAACGATTGGATACCGCATGGCAGGTTTCTAAAGATTGGAGCCAAATGAATGCCACATTTATTTGGATGGAGTTCTTTTTTTTTACACGTTTTACGGGAACATGGCCGCTATTTAAGTGAATTGAATATGCGGTTCGAGTTTTTTCGATAACTGACGGTATCTTTTAACCCCTTTTTTTTTAAAGCAAAGTTTGATCATGTAACTTACCTTTTGTTAGAATCTAGCAGAACCCCTTTAAACAATTTCAAACCAAACTCATAAGTGACTACGATAATATCAGGTAGAGCCTCGTCGACATACACGGAGATTTTCGTGTTTTTCAACAATTTTATATCCTTAATTTCGTCAGCCATATTTGTTAATGGACAAGTAAAAAAATATCCTTTTACATTGAATGTTATACCCTGATCCTTCCTTTTTTGCGCTACTACTATACAGCGGTTTTTGGGGCTTTTTTAAGCGCTTCAAGGTACAATAAAGTGGAATTTTTCTATTTCCGAGAATGGATTGATAAAAACGATAGTAAAATATAACCTCTACTCCTCTACTAAAAATTGAAAGTTAAGTTGGCGACAATGTTTTCCGATAACAATTCAGCATTCAGCGGTATTCCGTTTTCACGTAAATTACGTTCTGCGGTGTTTAAAAACGCTTGAAAATGGCGAAAAAAACGATTTTTGTTACAAAACCACAATGGCAATAACAATTTTCGAAAATTTACCCGCCGACGTTTTTACACTAAAGTGGTACAACCTTCCTGTTGGTAGTTCAAATGACTGATATGACTATGGCTGCGTCATCTGCCGATAAAGATTGATAAATATTTTATCTTCATCATCATATTTATCAAATCTATGAACTGAGCGTTTTTTCCAACCCCGCAAAAAGATGTGGAAAGCGTCAGCGGGACAGCAAATCAAAATCAACGAGAGCACCGAGGACGACGACTGGGAAACTGACCCCGATTTTGTGAACGATATAGACGAGCAGCAACAAAGATGGGGCTCGTCCGCTGGGCGGACTGCAGGGGCTATCGAGTAAGTCCCACCTAACCAATATCCTAGTTTCTTTATGTTTGCTGGTTTTAGTATGCAAAAACTGCGAAAGGAAACGGAAGAAGCGGATGCTATGAAGAAGAAAAAGGCTCTCCAAGAAGCTCCCGACAATCCAGCCTTTGGGTATGGCGGAAAATTCGGAATTCAAAAAGATAGAATGGACTCATCTGCTGTCGGGCACGAATACATAGGGAAAGTGGAAAAGCATGCATCTCAAAAGGATTATTCTACAGGGTTTGGGGGAAAATTTGGTGTACAGACAGATAGGGTAGACAAGGTTAGCTTACTATATGAGTCAAACACATTGAATTACACTTTGCCTTGCATTTAGAGTGCAGTCAGTTGGGACCACAAAGAGAAAATTGAGAAACATACATCCCAAAAAGACTATGTTTCTGGTTTTGGGGGAAAGTTTGGGGTGCAAACTGATAGACAGGATAAATCGGCAGTGGGATGGGATCACATTGAAAAGGTGGAGAAGCACGAATCCCAGAAGGGTTTGCTAATGCTATTCTGTGTATTGGGTAGTGGAGTCCTTAATTTTTTGCAGACTATGTGAAAGGGTTTGGGGGTAAATTCGGCATCCAAGCGGACCGCCAAGACAAATCGGCCGTAGGTTGGGACCACCATGAAGCGCCTCAGAAACATGAGAGTCAAACTGACCATAAAATCGGTTTCGGCGGAAAATTTGGGCTCCAGACAGACCAGGTCGACAAGTCGGCCGCGTCGTTTGATGAGCCGGCGACAAAGGTTGGGACAAATTACACCAAAGTTAAACCCGATATTGGCGGAGCCAAGCCATCAGACTTGAGAGCCCGATTTGAGCACATGGTATGTGGGGGTTGAGTTTAAAGTTTAGAATTGACCAGAAATTAGACCCCCTCAAATAAATACCTTTTCTTTTAGGCGTTAAAGGAGAACCAGCAGAGCTCTGCTAGCAGTTTGCCAACTCAGAGGAAAAATGTTTTAGCGAAAGCGGCTATATTTGCAAAATCTGACGAGGAGAATCTAGTTTCCCCCGAGAAATCGGCCGCAATTCCGAAACAATTGGACTCGTCCAAAATGGCTTTTTTGACACAAAGCTGTGAACCTTCAGAGGTTCAAGAAAAATTAGCGCCTCAAAAAATTAATCAGAACAAAATTGCTCAATTCACAGCTCAAGTGGAAGAGAGGGAAACCATCTCCAACCCCATCAAGGAGGAGTTGGAGCTGTTGAAACAATTGCAGAGGCAGAAACAAAATGATGACGATGTCGAGGAAGAAAGTCAGACGTCCTTGCAGACCAAAGAGGATCTTTACGAAAATTATGAGGAGATTGCCGAGTCTAAAGGTATAGTGGTCGCTTCTCCGGCCCAGGTTGAAGCAGTGGAGGAGCCCGAGTACTACAGTCAAGAGGATATTGTCGATACAGGAATATCAGCCTGGGCTTTGTATGATTATCAAGCCGCAGCGGAAGATGAGATATCCTTTGATCCTGATGATGTAATAACTCACATAGAAAAGGTATGTTGCCCATATTTGTCTCATGAAACTTATTATAAATATTTTCAGATTGATGAAGGATGGTGGAGAGGTTTGTGCAAGGGAAAATATGGCCTCTTCCCGGCAAACTATGTACAGTGCAACGAATGACCTCCATTTAACTCAATATATAAGTATTATATTGTACTTACTAAGATCAACACTTGTTTTATTTTGACAATATGCTTTATGCAATAAATTTTTGTATATTTTAATACCTCGTTTTTCTAAAATGACTGTGAAAGGTGAAAAATTAAAAAATCTCTAAAATCATTTGAACAGTTTTATTACAAAATATCCTACACATTTATATAGGTTTAATCTTAAAATGCATACCGATCAGCGAGAACACCAGACACTTCAAGTCCTGCACCAAGTAGTAAAAGCAACGGAGCCCTTCGGGGTCTTTCGACTGGCTCACATCCACCAACGAGCCCGTTTTCGAAGTGGCGAACGAGATGTGCTCGTCGTTGATCACGATCTCCAGTTCTTGCCTCCCGACGCGGTCGGACGGCGGCCACAGCGCGTCGTCTTCTGCCATGATCTCCGAATCGACGATGATTCGTTTGAGCTCTTCCATCACGCACTGGTGCACATACACTTCCTTTCTGATCATGGTGTCGTTTTTGTAGTTAGAGTTGTTTGCATAACGTAGCTTGCCGTCCGGACGAAACTCGAACTCGAGAAATTCGTGACCGAATTTGCCCTTGTGCCCCACGTAGTACCGGATATAAAAATCAGCGGGCATTTTTTTGCCGAGGAACTCGCCACCCGGGTCAGTTTGCCAACTAAACCTCAAAACAATGCACCCATAGGAAAGAAACTGGTGACTATCTATGTGGCAAATGGCGATTGAGCTCAGTAAAGCGACCATTTGTCTTAAAAGAAGATGAACATTTAAAATAAAAACAGTTCAGCATGAACCACACAAAATTTTGCAATAAGAAAAATTAATTAAGAATTAATTAAAAACAATCCAGAGCAAAAAAAGCCCAGGGAATATAAACTGACGTTAATTAAAGTTAACTGCCCGATATTGTCATCACGTTTAACGATTATACGAACGGCCTTGAATTTGTAATTTTAGAATAAATATTGCTGTTGTTTAACTATAAAGCGGTTTAGTTTTGTTGGACCGGTCTGGAGATAAACCTAATATAATAATATATCTTTTATTGCGAGATTTAACATTTTTACAACCTTCATTTTGTGAGCAATAAGGAATTATTTTTTTTAGGTCTGGGAATAAAAAGGCCACATAAAACAAGAATTTATTAAAACTGTAAATATTACCGTTTTTTTACAATCAACAACAAGCAAAACAAATGTATCTGTAAAAAAAGTGTTTTTGACTTGGTTTAAATAGTTTCCTTATCACAGACATAATTATTCATTTATATGTTATTTGAGAAATGCTACAATTCGGATACCGCATACATCCGAAAACAAGGTTTTAAGTAAATAACCCGTTTCAATATTCTTAAATAAATATGTGTATTAAGTACTATTTAGTTAACAAAAACAACAAAAAATTAAGATCCCCTATTAAAAGACACGAGATTTTCCTATAATTCTGCTAAAAGCTACCCCGCAGTGTAACTAGCACTTATGTTTGTGCTGCCTCTTATCTTAACCGAGTTAAAATCGGTAAGCTGCATGGAAATTTTCATTTTCCTTCTCAACCTCTTTTCCAGAGGCGGTATGAATAAACTGGGATCGTAGTGTTCATCGTCCACTCTCTTCCCGAATAGTTTCCTGGTTCCAAAGCTTACTAAGTATCCAACTATGAACGTTATTAGTAGCCCAATCACACCGTTATACAAATATGAAACTCTGTATAGCCAAAAATAATCGTCATCATTGATGTTCAGACTTTTAGCGATATTCTCTATGAAGTGACTAGAATTTGAGCTATCACAACCTTCAATACTCGTAGGCAAAGCTTGAGGGCCCGGTTTTGGAGCGAAAGCAATCCACAAGGACACAGAAACCCCACAAATCAACCCCGTCACTGAGCCCTGTTCATTGGCAGTCAAAGTAAACATACCCAAGGAAAATAATCCGAGCAACGGCCCTCCGACCACCCCGAAAATTGTGAGCGCTGCTTGGAGCACCCCTCCCAACAGCTGCGCCAAAAATGCAACCCCAAGGCAGACAAACCCATAAATAAGGGCTATAATTTTTGTCCGAAGGGACACCGCGTTCAAGGACATGTTTCTCTTGAATATTAGACGGTGTAAGGGCTTGTAATAATCCTCAACGGTGACTGCGGCGAGGCTGTTTAGGGCAGCAGATACAGTGGATAAAGAGGCGCAGAAAATACCAGCGACAAATAAACCCGAAAGACCTGGGATTGCGCCCATAGTATCAACAACATAATATGGCATCAATTGGTCTATGCTGTTTATACGGCCCGCTGTCACTGGATCGCAGTTAAAATATCTCGAGTAAATGCACAGACCAGAAAACGAGGTGCTTATGCTCAGAGTTGTCAAAATGGGCCAGTTCCACCAGAGGGCCATTTGGGCCCGTTTCAAGTCCTTGATAGTCAAGTAGCGCTGGACTTGCGTTTGGTTTACTGCATAGAGCGAGAGAAAAGTCACACCGCCCCCGATTATTAAGGAAAACCAAGAATGCCTTACCGTCGGGTCGGGATCAAAGTTTAATAGTTCTGTCCGGTTGCCGCTTTCCGCTATTCGCCAAATTTCCGAGAAACTGCCTCTTTCTTTCAACTCATAACCAATAACACTGAACACTGAGACGAACATTAACATGGACTGGAAGACGTCCGTGATTAACACAGCCTTCATGCCTCCTATTGTTGAGTAAAACGTACAAACTAAACCTATGGATAGTATGGCGATTTCTTTCGTCATGCCTGTTAGAGCCTCCAACGCTAAAGCGGGCGCGTAAACCACAATTCCCATGTACAAAGTCATTTGCAGTGTATAAGAGAGGGATGCTGCCAGCCTTGAGGTTTTTCCAAATCTGAGCTCCAAGTACTCATAGGCGCTGGTCGCTTGCAGCTTAAAAAATACTGGCAGGTATAGGTAAGCGGCGACGGGCGTGAAGATCCCATACGAAATGTTGATAATTATAAACTGAAACCCGTAAGTGTAATTCTCGCTTGAAACTCCCAGTATTGTTATTGCAGACATGAAGGAAGCCATCAAGGAGAACGCAACTGGCGTGATGGACATGTTCTTGTCCGCTAGCAAATACTCTTGCATCGTTTTCTGTTTACCGCCCGTAAATCTGTAGTAGATCCCAATGAAGGAAGAAATTAATAAAACTATTGCTATCACTACGTAGTCCCAAACGCCGAATATTGCCATTGCGACTGCTTTGCGCCAAACAAGCTGCGAATTACACAACGAGACGACCTACATTTAGTTTTTCACAAACGTTACGATAAGTTAACTATAAACTAGATGGGTATTTCAAAATCTCCAGGATTTATAACAAAAAAATGCGCTGAAAATTTATTGGTAAATTGTTAAAAAAAATTGGTCATGTCGGCCTAGTGATCAAAAGGCCAGTGCTAATAAAAATTCGCACAGAAATTGGTCAAATGATCCTAACGAATTTAGTTAATAAAGGGAAAAGAGACAAAAATTGGTCGGATGTTGCTGGTATTAGCTAATAGAAATTGAAGTAAAAATGAAGAAGAAGATTCTTGTTTTGCCAACTTCGAGTTAAATTTAAAAAGCAAAATTTGTAAAAATGATATTTGTGTTTCATTGTTTGAACTTGTTAATATACCGGCTATTTAAGAACATAGTAAGGCTCAAAAAATTAGATGTATCGTTAACGGCTGGCGAGTACGAAGTGGAGTATGAGTTAAAATTCGATCCTCCTGTTTTTAAGCAAAGATACGAGAAAGTTTACCACATATTGATAGACGAACGGTGGAGGACCAAGATTAGAAAACTTGTAGATTTTGGTTGTGCCGAATTCGGTATGTTTATATTTCTCAGGAGTCTCAGTATTGAAGAAATGTTCCTGATTGACATTGATGAAGTTTTGCTTGAAGAAAAGGTATTCAGAATAGAGCCAATGATTAGTGACCATTTGATAAGGCGTAACCGCCCCCTGGAAGTGTCGGTATTCGCAGGCAGTGTTTCAGACCCTGATTATAGATTAAGGAACACAACTGTTGTGACTGCTATAGAACTGTAAGTGATTGGTTAATTTTAATGAATTTAAATTTAAATTAAATTAATAATGTTTTTCTAGAATTGAACATCTTTATCCAGACACTCTAGATGCCTTCCCCTACAATGTGTTTTCATTTATTGAGCCCAAAATTGTGATAGTTTCAACTCCAAATCAGGATTTCAATGTGTTGTTCAATAAAGTCAATTTATTTCGGCACTATGATCATAAGTTTGAGTGGAGTCGTCAACAATTTGAAGACTGGTAGACATAATCAGAAATGTTAATGTACTTTCCCAATAAATATATTTTTAGGGCTCAAAATATAGTCCAAAGGTTTCCTGACTATACAGTAGAATTCTCTGGAGTAGGCTGGGGCTCCGCAGGTTCTGAACAGCTTGGGGCCTGTTCCCAGGTGGCTGTGTTTGTGCACAAAAGTTTTATTTGTGAAAAATACATATCTTCCTCCTACACCAGGCAGTGCATCTGTCTGGCTGACAGTTTTTGTAAAAGTGCCGTGTCTGAAGGAAAACTTCTGTGCAAGTGTGTGTGTCAACTCTGTGTGCCCGATCATAGTGTCGGAATTTGCACTTACTCCAGCCCCGGATCATGCAGCGGTAAAATTAAAAATGTCGAGTACAACCCGTCATTTAATATTTACTATAAGATGGTGCAGAAAATTGTTTACCCTTATGAAATAGATGGCAAAAGCGACGAAGAAAGATTACTGGACACTCTCAACTATAGGATACATACTTTCGGTTCTCTCAACAGTAGATTTTATATAGAGGAACGGGCTAGATGTGAAATCCCGGTAATGGATATTATGTATGGAAATATAGACATATCAGAGCATGAAACATGGTGAGTCCTGGGCTTTTTGTTTTATTATACTTTTCTGTCAAAGTTTGACATTTATCACTCATTTATTTCGGTACCAGAGTGCAAATTCCAGTATAAAATCAACCGTTTCAGCACACTGTTAATAAAATCCGGTTACACCATAGAAAAATGTCTTATACAAGAAACTCAGCTTAGCGAGAACTGCATCATTTGGGTGCCTCAAGAAATGGAAAACTTTAGTGGAACGTCGGAAACTTCAAGTTATAGTAGCGAGTGTGCACCCAGCGTTAGGACCGAGTCCAATAAAAACTGCAAACCCATGTCAGATTGGGACGAAGTTCGCGTGGACGAAAAGAGTGAGTGGGCAAGTTACAAAGACATGAAAGGTAAAAACTTTGTCATTTGATGTATAGCCGCGAAAAAATATATTTTATCAGCAACGGAACCGCCACTTCAAACTCAAAATAAACCCCACTCAGATTCCTTGTTGGACTCTGGTTATCAAAAATCGCCTTCGCCGCAAGACGACAGTCCCCAGTGGCTTCTCGAGGATTTAGAGGAAGTTGACCACTTTGATGATGGTAAAACTACCCCAAATTTTGCTAGCAGTGATAACAGGGTCCACTTGAAGAGACCAATAAAGGATAAACGCCTATCAGCAGAGGCACACAGGTAGATTAGATTCGCATTAGTCTTGTCTCTTAATTTCAAAAAAAAAAATTCCTTTGCCAAGCGTCAAATCGGAAGCGGTGAGAATTGATGACGCGGACAAACTTTTCGCTGCGAAAACCGTTTCGTACGGAGTGTTAAAGGCGTTAAAAAAACCGCCCGATTTTGCGATCGCGGGCCCGTCGACTTCTCCGAAAAAGAAGAAGGTCAAGTTGAAGTGTGAAGATAGCATCGAGGAAGACGCCAAAAGCATTGCCAACTGTATAGTACAAAACAGTTTGAATAAGATCGATGTTGAGGACCCAGCTGAGTTGATCCATTACTTGGGGATCATCGAGGAAAGGCCAGTGGCCAATCCTGAGCGTGCGGAAGAGCCTCAGTTAGTCGAAAACGGCGACTTGGCGAACAATAATAGGGACGATGAGGGCAAGTTGCAAGGACTTTAGGACCGCGTTTAAAAAAGAAGAATTGAGTTTATGTTCATTTTAGGTAATAATTTTGCCGGCGAAATTCGAGTAGCAGAAGGGGCGGATCATATAAACGACAACGTGGACGAGCCAGTCGTGCCTTTGCAGGACAACGGCGCCGGTTTTGAAGACAATAATGATAACTTTCGCGATGACGATGTAGCTGTGCCTGTCGCACAGGATCTTCCGGCAGTGTTGATTGTCGAAGAACCGTTGGAGCCTGCCATCGAGGTAAGTGTAGGATTTAGTTTAATTTCATACAAAATATTTTCATACTTAGCCAGAAGAGGTGGCCAGCGCCAGCAAAGAAGCGTTGTTTGATCCACTGTCGGAGCGAGATCTTTTGCAGGATTTTCATCAGACACCGCAAGCAGATGTCCTGCAAGATGGAGCGACGCATGAGCCACAAGCAGGTAAACTGTAGAGGTATTATTTTTTTTTTGTGTTATTTCCTTTGGGGGAAAAGTTTTAGATTTTTGCTTTGCAGCTTCAGTTCAAATCGGTAACTTTCCTGGCTGGCTGTTGCAGATCTTGGGCGGCTACCACATATCGTTGGAGTCTCAGATTCCAATGGAGACCCACTTTTATTGTCAGGGCGATGGTTTGGGTAAGTAACTTGATCTGTTTAATATGAATCTGTTGGAAGGGTTGATGTAGGTGTCCATCCCTCAGTGACCACCCTTGAGGCAAACGGGGACGCGGACGATGACGAGACGACAGAGTCTTCAAATAATACCGCTGATTTTGCTGAGGTGGAGCCTGGACCTTCGGATCACGACGCTAGTTCTTTGCCCGAAGAATCTCTGGGAAATAGCAGCATCAATGATGAAAGCGACGTTGGGAGAGTCTCGTCACCATCAGACTCCCATTTCGGCGGTCCCGACAAAACACATAACTATTTTTAAAATCTGAATAGTTTATTGTAAGACTGAAAGTTTTTTACAGCCGATTAATAAAACTCCAAATATCCAAAGTGTGGAACAATACTAACTTTAAAAAAGTTTGGTAGTTTAAGTTTATGTTTCAGTACCTGAGGCCAAGTCCTTATGAAAAAGTAATACCATAACTTCCATTTTTATGGAAATAAAACTATTTGCTCGGGACTACAATTTTTATTTTTTTTATTTTACATATTTAAGGATTAACCATTTTACAAAATTTTACATTCATATTAAGATAAAGAGAGAAAGACAGTATAACAGTATAAACATTATAACAACTAGAAACTATAACAAAATGTAACAATCACAATAAACAGAATTAACTGGCAGCATTCGAGCGCAACACATCAGAACGGAGGCTGCTCACAAAAGGATCCAGCTTTAAACAGTTGCACCCTTTCAGCATTCAAGTAAGGGGCGAATAAACTCCATAATTTGCGTGATGATAAGGTATGCGAAACATTGAGTTATCACAGCTTCTGTAATATGCGTTAAATTGCATGCGATGTAAAAGAACTGCTGGACAATAATACCAACCATTCAGAATCTTAAAGAGAAAAACTAAATCACTCTGAAATCTTCTGGCTTGAAGAGTATCAATATTGAAAGCCTTAGCTATAATACTGCAGTTGATCTGGTACTCATTATAGATATTAATATGCGCCTTTGAGGCCAAAGATCTTAAAAATGCTTTCTGAACAGCTTCAATGTTATCTATATAGCAGGCATAATATGGAGACCATACCACAGACGCATACTCTAGTCTAGAGCGAACCAAAGAGACGTAAAGGTGTTTGAAGCAATGTGGAGTAAGTTGGCCAGTATTACGTACAACAAACCCAAGGACTCGCATTGACCTGTTTACTACTTCAGCAAAATGTGTCACAAAATTTAGTTTAGAATCGAAGCAAACGCCCAAATCTTTAATACTAGTGACGGCCTCGATCGCGATTCCATCAATGCTATACTGGTTGTGAACCATACTCAACGAACCACTGAAGCTAATACTACAGCATTTCTTTACATTGAACGCGAGGCTATTAATCTTAGACCACATGCAAATACTATCAACGTCTCTCTGAAGCAGCAGAGCATCGTTGCGTGATCCAACCCTCCTGAATATCTTCAAATCATCCGCAAACAAAAGACACTGCGATTCCGAAACTACACCGACAATTTCATTTATAAACAAGTTAAAAAGGATGGGTCCAGTGTGAGAACCTTGGGGGACTCCCGAAAAAATATCAATTTTACCTGAGACATAATTATTAATACGAACCAACTGAGTATGACCGGACAGAAAACAATTAATCCATTGCACCAACCCAGCACCGAGGCCCATAGCTCTAAGCTTAGAGACAAGAAGCACATGACCCACCCGGTCAACGCCTTCGAGAAATCCGTGTAAACACAATCCACCTGACCAAACTCCTCAAAGGCGTTCAACAAAAATTGTTGGTAGGTGAATTAATTTGTTGCGGTATATCTACCCTGTACAAATCCATGCTGTTGATCTGCCAGAATTCCCCTGCGATGCCAGGAAAGTCTCTCACAAAATAACCTATCAAGCAGATTTGGAACCACAGACTGTATGCAAACGCCTCTATAATTAGCGATATCGCTTTTATCACCACTCTTGTGAATCGGTACCAAATAGCTAATCTTCCAAAAGTCGGGAAAAATACCTGAAGACAAGGACAGGCTAAAAATATGCTGTGGTGCCTTACTCAAAGTACAAACACATTTCTTAATCAAGCCCGTCCGGGCCATGGCAAAATCCAGTCTGAAAAGTTCATAATACTCTCAAACACATCAGTAAGTGAAACACTCATGGAGTTAAAGTCTAAACTATAATTAGGAATCACACCCCCACACTTTTCAAAAGTAGAAGCAAAATGCTTTGCAAACAAGCCAACAATATCCTGACCACAGTCGGCAACCTCGTCACCCAAATACATGTTACTGGGATATGCACTTGAACTTCGCAAACTATTTACATGTTTCCAAAAAGGTTTTGGGTCATACGTGACATCCTGATTAATTCGCATTATATATGCACTGTAACACTCACTACGCAGTGCCTTACACTGATCCCTTAACCCACAGAAATAAAAATAATCATCAGCGTTGTTAGTTTGCTTGTATTTTGTATGCGCAGTTTTTTTCATAACAATTAAGTTCTGGAGTTCACGACTAAACCATGCAGGGAAATTGGAAGACTTAAATCGCTTAACAGGAACAAACATGTCAATCGCACCATACAAAATACTATAAAAATAATCAACACAACTGTTAACATCCCGCGGGTCAAGTGCACCCTCCCAAGATATACAAGACAGATAACAATTCATTGCATCAAAGTTACAATTTCTAAAATCAATAAAAGGCATCATACTTTACACCAACATCACAATCAATAGGCAACATAATCTCATAAGCCAGGTGATGCTCTGTAACATTCAATATGCTCTCGGATGCGATACAAACCTGAGCCAAAGGCAAACTCATAAACAGATCTAAAAATCGACCAAACTTGTTAGGGATACAATTAGCTTGACCTAAATTATGGTAATTAAAACAGGCACACAGCAGATATGTCGACGCGACAAACTCCATACTCACCACACGCAAACCACTCTGCGAATTACTCCAAACCGCACTAGGTAAATTGAAGTCGCCAGCAATCAACACATCACAATCTGCGTATCAAGCCAAGAGGTCTGAAGTAGAGGAAGTAAACTCCTTATACACTGAAGTAGGCGACGAGGGAGAAACATAAATCGCACCAAGAATAAATTTTTTCACTCCAAACGAAACCTGCACGAAAATATGTTCCACAACAGAACAACTAACATGAAACACGTGTGCCTTTAACTGTCTGCGAACTGCAATAAGGGTCCCGCCTCCCCTCGTCTTACCAGTACTGCGATCTTGCCTGAAGATAATAAAGTCACTAAAATCTAGTTCTGAATCCAAGTAGTCCTCGTTAAGCCACGACTCCACCAATATAATAACATCATATATACAGCTATTAACGGACCGCGCCAACTCATTCAATCTAGTACGCACACCACCCGCATTATGATAATAAATCTTCAGTTTTTTGGATTCTTGATGTTTCTTGACAGCCTGTAGTTTTTTGGGCTTGAAGTATTCTTCTGCTGAACAACCTTCGGTACCCCTTTGACATATTGAACATGTAAACCTGGCTCGCCAACAGAACGTGCGGCAAGCTCTTCATATGCTTTCCTTAGTTGATCCCTCTGCAGTGGCATTAAGTCCGCTCTAACCTTTATAATACTATCAGCAAGAACGGTTTGCGAGGCAAACGGAGATAAGCGATGCATCAAATAAAACAACTTTCAATGGCCTGAGGCCCTCGTTGTTAAGTTTGCCCAGTCGAAATGCCTTAAATGTTGAACAATTCACCCGAGTTGCGGAAAGAACTTTAGATACATGTTCCTTATCCTGCACAACACGGAGTTTCGAGTCATCAGCTGAACTCTCCGGTACATTGTACAAGATTACATTCTTAGATCTGATGGAATGATCCTGCATCTCACTATAAATATCAGATGAAATTTCTGAACACCCAACAGACAGCTGGGTATCATTGCCCGACTTCAAAAGAAGAGAGAACATCAATCTCACCACTAAAGTCAACAGACTTGATTATCTTCAATTCCTCCAAAATGTTGCTCATTTTGTTATTTTGCTCATTAATAGAGTTGAAAATATTCAATATAACAAGAACAATGTCCGCCATCTCAATATTCTGCTTATTAACCAATCGGTCCTGAATTTTTTGACCAAGTTTGGAATAATCATTACCTGATTCTTCAGACGTGGAACCACTCGCCTGATCGTTAGAATCACAAAGAGACGATTCCGGCCTGTCCACATGCATAGTAGGCATTTCCGACAACACATGACCTGGTCTGTCGGTAGGCATAGTAGGCGGTGTTCCGTTCAACATCAGCGAGTAGCGCGAGCGAAAGAGAATGATGCAGACCTAACCTTAACCGCGGCACACTGACGACAAACCCAATCATGCACTTTATTTCTTCGCGTTGCAGCACAAATTTTATTAAAATCAGATGCGGACAGATCAGTACAAGTTTTGTGTAGCTACAAGTTGCACAAACTATATTGAGTTGCACTTTTTTTCGACCCAAATGATTTACTACAATCAGCACACTGTTTATCACTCGCCATCTCTCTCTCTTTTACATCATAGGCTATAATAAAACACAAAATATAGTGTAAATGTACTATTTATTTACCGCAAAATTGCAAGAAATTTATTAATACATTCCACAATATCCAAGACTATCTCTTTTGTTCAGAGTCCTGCAAAAAAAAAAAAAACAATTTTAATAACACAGGATTGGTACAGTTCAGTTGAACTATTTTCAAGTACAGGATTGATCAGATAGGAGCGAAAGACAATACAGCACTGTAATCATTTCTTTCATCTGAACTATGCAGTCATCATAAAACATTTGCCAAGTATACATGTTTTTTAAGGTACATTGAAATCTACAACTCACCAGTTCTAAGATTTGAACATTCTGGATTGTTCCCACAGCTGAAAATAAACAAAACTTAGGCAAATGGAAAATACTGTAACTCCAAAACTAATTTTATGAAATTTAAATCGAATCAGATAGGAGCGAAAGATGTATTCCGTATTGTAATCAAAATTGTCTCATCTGAACTATGCTGTCATTATAGTCTGGCATTGGTGAAAAAAAAAAAAAAAAAAAAAAACTCACCAGTCAACTGGAAGATATAATGGTCCCTGAATACCTCCCTAAAATAGGAAGAAGTTAATAAACATAAATAATAAAATAACGCTATTTACTCAAAAAAAAAATCAGTTAAAGCGAGTCTTTGATCTCATCATAGACTTCAGAGTGGTGCATGACATTCATCACAAAAGCAAGTTCCTTTTAAAAAATACCACAAAATTATACAAACTTTATTTTTCTCACCTGAAAAGATTCTTCCTGCTATTGTCTCAGATTGGGACTCTGCAACAACATAAAATAAAAAGATTATAGAAAAAACTACATATAAACATAATTGGGGGTATCAATTAAAAAAGTCAGTTGGTAGTGCATGTAAAAACAAATAATCAGAAAATGATCATTTTTGGTGTGTAGGTCATCATAATGGTTAAAACAGATTAGTTTCTATGTTAAACTTAAAATTGACTTACCAAATGGCCATTTAGACTGGGAAAGCTTTTACGGGTCAAATTGTATCATCACCGTATGAAAGGGTTAGACCAATAAATAAAAACTTATTTGCATAGGCAATGTCCTCTTCTGGAAAATCTGAAACAAAAAAAATAAATATCCAAATAACCCCCCAGCAACTAGGATCAAGAGTCCTTCACTTTCACAAAAGTTCAGATAGAGCTAATGTGTTCAATCACAAAAGATTCATTCAAATAGATTCATCACTTGCTATCAAACGAACCTTCCCACCCTACTCATAATATATATATTTTAATTACCTTATTGAACAGGCCGTTTTGCTTTTGCTTGAACGAAAATCCTTGGTACATCGATATTCTCTTTTATATTAATGGTGCGCCTGTGGATATAAGAGTTGCTAACAATTTTGAAACCGCAACTTAACAACTTTTCCTCCACTAATTCCAAAGAAAAAAAATAAGTTCTTGTACCGTCTTGCCGCATATAAAAATTTTCTGAAATTTTGTGGCCGGGTTTGAATCTCATTTGCGCCATATCATACAAGCCATAATCTCGAAATAGCAGGACACCTCCGGGCTTCAACAACTTGAACACATTTTTTAAAGTTCTCAAAAATTTATCAGGGTGTATAGCGGACAACACAAAAATCATAGTTATTATATCCAAAGATTCCAATTCGAGAGTGTTAAACACATCCTCTGAAGTTATATCGCACTGGAACACTTTTATAAGGGATTCATTATACAAAGAATGAAGTTTTACAATCTCAACAGCTCTGGGCGATAGATCGCAAGCGAATATTTTGAAATTCAACCCCAATTCCAGCAAAGGAAAGATAAAATTCCCTGCGCCGCATCCAACTTCAAATAGATTGCGACGCTCATCAGAGGTTTCAACTAAATCTTGAAACTCCCTTGTGGTCCAGTGTCTGTCTTTATAAAATCTAGCTTCGTTACGCTTATAAAATATATCCCAGCGCTTTTTCGCATGGACTTCGAGCATCTTTGCTTTATGTTCGTTCACTAGACGTGTATTCTGGCGCTGCAGGCGCTCTACATCGTCCGCCGTGAGAATTCTGCTTAATTTTTCACCTTCTTTATCAGAACAGTCGTTCATATTTCAAAAATACTAACTGCAACTTGCAGATTTGCGCTAAATATCATTTAAAACAAGAACAAATTTCTAAAAAGTACGCAGATGAAAGAAATATTTCCCGATTAACAGTTGCACTCGTCGAAAATGCACACAAAACATCGAAACTACACTTCCAAATGTCAAAAAGAAATGTTCCTTCAATGAGACGCTTTTTTATACCCAATTCCCAGAGAATTGACGTTATATTCTATGCTTAATTTATTCTTCTTCTTAATCAATCAGGCTAATTGCAATGAGTCGTAATAGTAGTAATTTTTATAATATTTAGAATAAATATTTTATTAAAAATTTAGTATAAATAAATTTTTAATAAAATCAAATTTTAAAAAAGCCGTAACTACTTTATATTAACATGGTTAAGTATTCTTATGTTACATTTATATGTAGCCTGGCAGAATTATCCTAACAACTTTGGCCAACAGAAGGAAAGTACTTCATTTAATCTACTATAAACACATTGAAATTTGCCCTAGCAGTAATGGCCAATAAAAAAAAAATTAAAAAAAAAACGGGGGGGGGGGAGAGGCACACATAATAAAAAAAAACAAACCCATATCTATGCAAATAAACAAAATTCCTCTGAATTTATTAAAGTGGATCTTATAGAACAAAATAAATTATTAAGACTAAAACATCTTATGTCCAGGTAAAACTGCAGTTGTCTTGACAATATTTTAGACATTCTATATTGCAGGTCATTTCTTCATTGGCAGAACAGAAATGCTTTAAAATTGTGGACCTCAATCCGCAATCTGACAAATTTTCTTTGCTGAATATTGCCGCGCCCTGCTTGTCAACATCAGAATGTCTTCTATCGTTCTTTGCTTTGCTAAAGGCTTCAGTATTGCTTAAATTGTTAAATGTCACAGTCATACTTTGGCCTGGTGAGTTGATTGAGAATATGTTATGAACTGTGCTCGGCAATATGGGGCCGAGAAGTTCCAGGCAGTAGAAATCTGATCCGTCACTCAGGATTTTGGTTTGTCTCACTTTTAACGAATTTAAAGTTGCTCCTTGAAATGAGACAGGAGCTAGCAGGGTGGGCGGAATCCCGGCCAAAGTTCCAGTTGTTGCTACTGTACTCTTACAGTTAATTAGAAAGTTGAAGAGCCCATTTACCTCAACTCCTTCAATAAATATAAGACTTTGATTGCTATTGTCAACTTGACACTCCACTTTTTGTTTAATACGAGCCTTTAAAAAATAAAATAAAATAGATAATGGATTAACAAGGTAGTAACAAGCCAAAAGTACCTGATTATAATTAATTTGTTTTATATCTTCAGCACTAATTCCCATTTTTTTCAGCCAGTGTTCATCCATTTCGTCATCTTTGTCTTCACACACATCTTCATTAGTTTCCTCAAGTGTACAGCTTTCTGAATCCAGTGTTTCATAGCCCTGATCTGAATTGCGTTTCTTCAAGGGCATAACAAATTCAATATCCTCTTGTCTTAACATTTGCCTGAAACCTCTGGTTGTTGGTGTTACCAAAGCGTGCAAGTCTGTGTAACCTGAAATCCCACCTGCGCGAAATAGCACATTAAAATTGTTGGTGCACATATAAAAATATGGACAATGTTTGGTCTTTAACAACTGGAACAGGGACCGGAAACTGTCTTTCCACGCCATGAAGAGGCTGTTTTTCACGTTTACACTTGTCGAGAGGTTTAAACCATTGTTTCCCTTGCCCGAGTTTCTTGGAAATAAAGTCAGCCAAGGAAGAAATGGGTGTTGCCAAAACAAACAACAATTGTGGAACTTTGCATTTGGCGATGCATCTAATGTTGTGTCGCTGTCTTCTACATCTAAACACCTTGTAAAACTTGTAATTCCCGATGCCTCTTCACTTACTTTTAGATTTTGTGTCCACAGAAATGGTTTCATTGAAATCAGCCTCATTTTAGTCTTTAAACTCCAATCAATTGGTAACCATAATTTTCCAGTTGCCTTAACCACTTCTACATGCTCTTTTTCATTATTATGAGAGTTTAGTTTATCCAAAATATTACTAAATGAAGTAATGGGAGTATCAGAAATAGGGACTGTGCTGCTTTGATTAAGTAGCTTGAAAAGGGTTTGGTCTGTGGATTCCTCCAATACTTCCTCTTCGACTTTACGCTTTTTTCCGTCTACTGACTCTTTCCGGAAGGGATTCTTGCGCTTTTTATATGAAAAAACGTTTTTAAATGTCCCAACTTTTTCATGGATTGGTGCTCTATTATTCAAAACGTTTCCATTTATTCTCGCCTGTAGAGCTTTCTTTTTCTGTTTCAGTTTGTGCAACTTCATAACGTCTGCAGGCCTGTGCCATTGTATATCATTTTTTGAACTTTCCGGCATCATTTAATTTATTACTTTATTTTAATTAAAACCTTTATCAATAAATTAAACAGCTGTCAAAGCTATAAAATAAACCAAATAACGGGCACCAAATATTTCTACGTTTCTACGTTACTTGCACTGCCCAAATTGCCAGGGATTATTTGCCCAACCTGCAAAATCCTCTTCTTTGCTTGAATAAACCAAATCCGTCCAAACGCCAAGTTTCTTTTTCATTTGGTAAAATTGTGACAATCAATGGGCCAATTTTTATTTTGGCAAGAAGAAGCCTGTATGGTTGCCTAATTTGAAATTATTTTTGATAATTCTCTTGCATTTTCTGTTCGCCTATTCATATTTCTGATACATTGTGATCAGTTTGGTATCGGCAAAAAATGGTTTTGATGTGGATTCTGATTCCATTCGAAACTTAGGTTATGTGGTTGTTCAAAAATGTTTGCTAGGACTGTGCTTATAAGTTTTCATCGGACAAACGCCGCTTTCGTGAGACATTCATATAAGCAAATCCATTTGGACCGATTCAACAAACCTAATAAATTATTGGGGTATTGGGATGTTTGGGATGTTGTTCTAGGGTTACATTTTGCTTTGCAGTATTTCCTGTTTTCCGCGTAATGCTAGCCAGGTTGTTCATTGCCTGCCGAAAATAGAGTACGAAGATGTTAAAAAGTGCTATGAGGATAAGAATGTCCTTTTGGTAGACGTACGGGAACCCAATGAACTGAACGAAACCGGGGTGTTACCCAACAGTATCAATATTCCCTGTAAGGATATTCATTTCCCTTATTTTTGATAATTAATTTGTTTTTTAGTAGGAGATGTGGAGAATATATTTCGGTCTATGTCAAATGAAGACTTCAAGAAGAATTTTGGTAGAGATAAACCCAATTTAGATACAATGATAGTGTTTTCGTGCATGAAAGGAATAAGAAGCGAAAAGGCGCAAATTATAGCCAACCAGTTAGGTTTTAAAAAGTAAATAAAGCATTTGGTGTATCTTGTTGTATAGTAATTAAGTTATCCTTACTTTCAGTGTTAAAAATTATATTGGTGGTTGGATGGATTGGGTTGAAAGGACAAAGGCAACTATGCAGCAACCTTAAATATTTAAAATCAGGATTTTATTATTTTATAAGTTAGAGACGTTTTAGGTTTTAAATAAAGATATAAAAATATTGTTCCCATTATTAATTCCTTACCATTTTATGTTCTATGACATTATTTAACTCTGTATGTCGGCTGTCAACGCGGTGTCAAAAAAATACGAATTTTGGTTACTTTTCCTACTTTTAAAAATTGTTTACCCAGTGTTTAAATATTTAGCCAAAAAATTGCTATTGCCAGTACGTTTCCAAACAAGCACATGAGTCGTTGCAAGGCGGGCACATTTAGGTTAAGGTTTCTGAAGTAAACTGAAAGATGGAACTCACAGAGTGGCGCCAGGACATATTTAATCAGCTACAACTCAGGAATCGAAGGGAAACCTACGGTTTTCAGGATTTGGTCGCTCAGCGTGAGACCGCCCCCTCTTTAAAATTGCCCCTCAACAGCATGACACTTTCTCTTTTGCAGATAATAAGATATTTGATAATGCCAATGCATTGCGACATGAAAACCTGCAGCTGTCGATACAAAACGAGAAACTGAGAGTTGAGGGGATTTGTGCGTCCCCCGGCAACAGTGCAGAGACTCGTTTGCAGGAGAAAATCCAGCACTTGGAACAGAAACTCTTGGCACACACAGAGGAACTGGCTGACTTGCACAAACGCAAAGGCGAAAACTCACAGCAGATTATAGATTTGAATGTGCGGGTGCAGGAGAGAGATAAGCTTATTGCCACCAAAGATGTGATGTAAGTGGTCTTAAAATTAAAATCGAAATGACGAAAATGAGGTTGCCTTTAAGGTTGGCCGAGGCAAACTCTAAAATAGTCAGTTTGAAAGCCGAGGTGAGCATGTTGATGCAGGCTAACAAAGAGTTGAAATATCAAAACGACACTTTGCGGGATGAGCATCAGGCCTTACAGCTCGCCTACAGCTCTCTAGAGGAGAAACTTAGAAAAGTACAAGTAAGCACATTGTTTTGCAAATTATTACCAAGGCTGTATCTGATTTTTCGTATTGACTGACACTAAGTGTTTACATGAATATACTTATTGACATATCTTCAAGTGGGAACTGCTATCAATTGCAGCTGCGATGATTTTGCGATGATAGGACACGATAATTTCTTATACTCAGAAAGTGACTTTTTAGATTTGAAAGGCTATTTTTCCGCCAACTTACCCATGGGGTAGGGGTGGGTGTAATGAGTCGTTGTGAGTCACTAGGTGGGCCCGCGAAATATCGTATTTTCTAAGTGATGCGCAAAAATCTAAACACCCGGCCTTTGCATTCAACCTACCAATAAAGTTATCTGTGATACTCAGAGCTGTTGTGGTTATAATTTTTATTTTTTCAAAAAATAAAGTCCCTGAAACCATTGTTAATTTTTTCAAACCTAGTTATGCTTAAAAATGTTTATTCAGTAAATATGTGTCCGCAAAGAAAAAAGGATTTTTACGAGCCGTATGTGTCGTCGAATTTGACGTTTATAGATAAACACTCTTTTGAAAACGCGCGTCAGTCCGTAGGGCATATTTTTGGAACAGGATCTCCCAAATTGCATGTAATCATTGGAGGCGACAAGTATTGCGATTTACTGGCGTTATTAAATATTTTTATAGAGCTGGCGCGCGTCCAGCGGATTAATAGTCGAGGCGAATCGTTTCTTTTGCATTTCGATTGTTTCGCGGCATCATGTTTCCGAACTATAAGAAAGTATTCGCGGTAGCGTATTCCGAATAGGTTGATAATTTTTTTTTGGTGCAACCTTTTGTTTTCAGTCCGAAAACGGCGAGCTGGTGGAACGGCTGATAAAGTACAAGGCGAAAGACGCGGAACGGATGAACGAAGAGAATGACAACTTTTTAAAGTAAGTGTTTTGCGATCGCTGCTCGTTTGTTTTTTGTTTCTATTCGGTTGCGAGGTGGCAGGCCTGTTCCCCGCTTGGCTTGGCTCACTTTTGTTTTTCGCTTATAGTTTATTTATCCTTCGATCCAGACTGAACATTTTAATGCACCATCGAAAATGTAAAAGAGAAAAAAACTCAAAAAGCATAAAACTTCGTTTAGTTATAATAAATAATTATAAGCTAAGTAATAATATTAGCTGTTATTAGAAAAAATTACTTATGTTTTTATTAAAGTCCTGCTTAAATTGCTTTTATAGACTTTTGTGCGGGGTGGCCACTATAACGCAATACTTTATCTGAGAATATACAGGGTGTACGAAAAAATCTTAAATATAAAAGTCATCTGGTTTGAAACGAAGTTTTTTTTCATTATATTTTTGCATATGCAGGGCACTCAGTGTTGTTGGGTAATGGAACCTCCTTTATATTATTACATTTTTGGATTCTATTCAAGTTTCTAGGAAAATTTCATATATAATGTTCTATACCTATGGTTTTTGACATATTTAAGGCTATATCCCAAATACCAATACCATTTTTTCCTAAAAGGAAATCTTTATTTTTTAATTTGGGTTTAATACGTTGTCGACAGGAACCTACTTTAATAGAATTTCTATAATATTTTGATAACTAATAATACAGGGTGTTCAAAAAGTAAAATTAAATACTAAATTCATGAAACTTGCAAAAATACGTTTTTTTTTTAATGGAGACCGTAATTTTATCTTATTTACCATTAAAAATAATGGTAAGTTTGTATATGCTGAAAATGTTTAGTTTTGAAAGATTGACAAATTAATATTCTTATATGAGGATTTTGCTGCGGATTTCAAGCTTTGTTAGACTTGACAACGAATAAAAAGTCAAGAAGGCCATGATAAATAAAAAACCCGAGAATGTCACATGCTCTCGGTAAAATATAATTTCATCGTTTTTATTCTATTACTGTCAAAAATATCGCTCCACACATTGTTGAAGAGCGCTTAGAGTGATATGAGTGCTTTATTCGCAATAATAAAAGTCCAGCTTTGCCTCTTCGGGAGTACCGGTAGTTATATCCAGCAAGCAGATTACTCACTAAACAGATTTTTAGTAGCATAGTGCCTGACCTACAAAATGGTTGTCATAAAAACACCAGGATGAAACCGAAAACTGTCCTTACTGAAGAAAAACAATTAGATCTTCTGCTGCATTTAGCAGAGCGAAGAAAGTTCCCTAAGCCAAGCCTCGCCTGACATTCCAGAAGTAACGTAGAGTAGCATTCAAAACGCTTTGAAAGTAAATTAAATTCCTCCCTGTTCAGTTATTAACAGCTGAGGATAAGGATGCAAGAGCAATATTTTGCGTTCCAATGATGGACTGTGATTTTCAATTGAAAAAGTATTGTGGATTGATGAAGCTAGTTTTAATACGGCCGGCACTTTTAATAGAAAAAATACCCACTATTGGTCTCCTACTAACAAACACCATATTAAAATTATTCAGAAGCAGAGTTATTGAGCCGATATTTTATGAAGGCAATCTTAATGGTGATCGGTATTTAAACCTACTAGCTACGCAGATTTATCCGCTTATTGACGCTCTACCGTAACAAATTAAACATGATCTAATCTTTCAACAAGATAGTGCTCCGTATCATACGTCAATGCCTGTTATTGACTGGCCGAACAACCGATTTCCAACTTGGATAGGTCGACACGGAACAATACCTTGGCCAGGTCGTAGCCCTGATTTGACGCCTGTAGATTTTTCAATGCAGAAACTTGAAAAATATAGGTTATCAAATAGGGAGAATTGAAAAGAGACAAATCCACGTTAGCTGTTCTTTAAGTGTTATTAGTTTTAGTTGTTAAAAAAAAATTGCCGAAATTTGATAAATTATAGTTTTTTTTACCAAAAATGTGGCGTATTTTATAAAATTTAGGTCAACAAATTATTGATAATTTTGAAATAGTAACTGCCAGCCTCATCCATTTCGTTAAAATATGATTGATTTTAAACACTGTCATAGCCAACTAAGAGTGTAGATATAACAAAGGTTGAAACCCGCCGCGAAATCGTCATATAAAAACATTAATCTTTCGAAAACTAAACATTTTCAGCATAGACAACCTTATACAAACTTATTTTTAATGGGGAATAAGATAAAATTATGAAATTTGGCGGTTTCCATTAAAAAAGAAAGATTTTTTGAAGTTTTCTTAATTTAGTATTTAATCTTACATTTTGAACACCCTGTATTATTACTTATCAAAATTTTATAAAAATTTTGCAGGTATTAAACCTAAATTAAAAAATAAAGATTTCCTTTAAGGAAAAATTGGTATATTTCTGAGGGCCTGCAAATGACGTATTTGAGATAAAAACTTAGATATGTCAAACCATTAGATCTAGGTACAGAACATTTTTCTAGAAAGATGAGTAGAATCCACAGATGTAACAATATACTGAATGTTCCATTAAAAAAAAAGAAGTTGTGTTGACCCAGGCAACACTGAGTGCCCCGTATATGCAAAATATAATAAAATAAAACTTCGTTTCAAATCAGCTGACTTTTGTATTTAAGATTTTTTTCGTACACCCTGTATATTCTGGAATAAGGTATAGGGTTACGTTATATTGGCCACAATTTCTTCTTATAAACTGCATGAAAATACGTGAATATTAAAAATTGAAACAAACGATTTTTTGATTATGGCAAAATAAAATTTCAAGTTTAACGAAACGACGCGTTTTCTAAATTTATCTGGAATTGCCCAATCTGTTTTTCCCGCGCGTCTTGCCCCCCTGCCCTCCCGCGCGCCATATTGTTCGACCGAATTTATGATTTTATGAAACCGAGCAGAATGCGTTTATAATTCGTGGAAATGTAAACAATAATTTTTGACGTGCAGCGATCCGCCCGCGAGAACATAGGAGGCGGCGGCTCGCCATTTTCTTTTGTTGTCGTTGTGCGCTTTGACAGTGTTTATAATTTGACCGCTTTTTAGTATTACTCGCCTCATATAAAGCGTGACGCACATTGATAGAAGCATATAGCTACTAGTTTTATATTATATAATTGCTTGATGCCGATAATAACTTTTGAACACGGATGATTTCAGTAATGTACCCCTTCTATGGAGAACTACCCAAATAATTATCACTAAATTATCACCAATTTCCACTAGTCATCATTACAATCATCTTGTTTCCAGTAACGATCATTTCATTACGATACAGCGTGTTTAAAATACACAGGGTATCTAATAATAATTGAAATACGTTGTAATAACAACAATGATCATAATCAAATTCCCTTTGCTTCTGAAACCTACGAAAAATGTTTTCTTTTTTCAATAATTATAATAGTGTCTGTATTATCGACATAAGCAAGGCCTTACCAATGCTTTAAGAATTAAAATATAGTTGCAGCACTCTTTGTCGTGTTGAGATATTAACCGCGTCTTCCTCTCCACGTGCAGTGGTTGGTTGTTCCACGCGTATACGAGGGATCTCTGATTGTATGTTTGTTCCGCGTGTAGCATATCCATACACGTGGGGGTTTCCAAAAGTATGATATATTTATAGATAGATAATAGGACGTCCTTAATAAAGTTACTTTTGCTTTTAACTAGTTTAAAATGAAAATTTTTAAACAAAGATATGCGCTGCTTGGGCAAAAATATTGAAAATTTAAATTTATTTTCATAAGCCTTAATGCCATCATGCTCTAGCGCAAGCCCTTTTAAAAAAGAAGCTATCAGTAAATCCCACAGAGTGTATGTTTAGTATGGGAACACTATTGATTTCAAAATTTAAAACACCCTCTGGAATTTTGTGTTAAGAATACAATATGTCTATTGTCAACCCCTTCAGTTCTTGTTCTTTTTCAATGGTTTAATTTTTCGTTCGGCTTGATAGCTTCTTTTTGAAAGGAGTTGTTAAGCTTTGAGCATGATTACCTTAGTCTTATGGAAATATATTTAAATATTCATTAATTTCTATTATGTACAATAATTGGTTAAATAGTGGAAATACAAAGGAAAAATTAAGATCAATTAACATATTATCTTAGTAGCAGAAAACGTAAATAGCGTTAAAGATTATATTTACAAATATTTTGCCCCGTTAATCTGATAGACAACGAGATAAAAACAGTCCCTCGTTGAATTTACTGCCACAACCTTCCACTACGTTACAGACATTTTGCTACTTAATTCGGTTACCGAGTAGAAGATCGGCGGCACGTTGCGGAGTGCGGCCACTTATATTTTAACTCTTTAATCTTTGGCTTTACCTAGTAAATATGTGGTGCTCAACAGCTCGAATCATCTTCAAAAGCTCTCATATTGGTGATAATAAAGAGAGCGCCGCTGTTGTACTACTTCTCATATACCGTGTTGCCGGTTTTTTCATTTTACTTAAAAATGTTTGCAAAATTCGGGCCTTTGTGTTTAACGAACATCGCTGGATGAAACGTTTTTAAAGATCTTGGATCCGGCGGTGCGGTAAAGTTTGGGAGTAAGTTGTAAGTCACGCTTTTATATGAATGGTGTCTGGTATATTAGTGTTAATATCGTGCTTTTTTGTGTTCCCGAGCCTCCTTGTATATTTGTCTTGCAGCGAGGGCGCCAAACAATTTTCCTCTGTACTCAGCACCTTTGGTATTTTTAGGTATGTATTGCCTGTCTAAACGTAGTCGCCGTTAATGGCCGCCCGGTGGAGAGTAACGTTTGCTTAATACCTGGCGGTTCATATATACTTGAGGCATGCTTTTAGTTTTCCTATATGTAATGACGCTTTTACGTAGTTATTGTTTAGTGGAACTATTCCCGTATTTTGGAGAACGTGGAAATAAGACTTAAATCCTTGTTTAAATCCCTATATGGGATGCGTTAGATCCTTGGCAGGGCAAAATTTTTACAATAAGATTCATGTACAACTGATTTTTTCTATTAGCCTAAATTTAAACTTTAATGTTAACTACTGTAAGTAATGCATAAGCATTTCGACCCACTTATTTGATTATATTGTTGGATCCGGCATTTAAAAAAAATTTTTCGATCGATATCGTGGTCGTTCCAGAAAACGGCACGCCCGTCTCCAGAAGGAAATCGAGGAGGCCTGTAAGGACACCCGGGGCATGTCGTCAGACGAACTGCAGGAAGGTTTCGGTCCTTTGTCGCAGTCCGCGTTGCCAACAAAGGTGCATGCCCGATTTGTAAGTGTCATCTACTTGTCCGAGTACGAGTTCTTTTTATTGTATCTTAACCTTCAAGTATGTTCGAAAAATCAAAATCGTTGGTTACAGCCGGAAAAAAATTAAAAAGTAGCTGAGAGATAGTATAGGCAAAAACGGAGACGTGAAAAATATGGCCCAATCGAAGAAGGGAATCGGATGTCCCTATACCTATTTTTCGATTTTATTGAATTTGAAGGTGGTTGCGAGTTGTCATTTTTCGATAATTGTTGTGAACCAAATCGAGAAATAAATTTGTTATTTTATTTATACACCTTTCTTTGTTGCGTATGTTCCCATGCCAATGAAAAAAAAACGAGTTTTTGTCATCACCGATTGGCTTTAAGTAAATAAACTTAAACTAACGCAACCCACACATGGTAGCGTCCCTTAGTGCGTCACTTAGGAAAGATGCTGGCATCACTTGAATTTGTTAATAAATTTTGCCCTAGTAATATGCAATTATTCTTTGGTTAGATAGTAATATGTAATTTTCATATGTAATAATTTCCTCCGCAAGATAGAGGGCGTAGAAGCAACGAAACCACACTACTACGATGGCAACGAAAATTCTCTCTCTCAGTTGTCTAAATCTTTCTGATAGTATAAAATAGTTTGGCTCTATTAGTTGTATATAAAATATATACAACTATAAAATTGAACTCGAAGCGGATCATAACATTTCGGACCATGTGCAAGTTTTATTGTTGCACGCGCATCCGCCTCCGCGTCAAGATAATTTATTCCAAGATGCCAATAGGTTACCTTCGCCGTACTTTAGTGCAAAGAGGTGAGGGCATTCGGTTACCCAGTTTCCAAAGTGCTTATTAACGCTTTCTTTCCAATTTTTAATGAGTTTTAATTAAGTAGATGGTCCTTAAGAGAAAACATTTTTATAGAATTAATTTTGGTGCCAGTTTTTATAATATCCAAAGTATTAATATTATTATTAATTAATGGGTAATTTCCCTGCCTATTTTTTGTTCATTGCCTCAGACCAAATACCATAATTAATTGTATAAAATGAAGAATGTAAAATTATACAAAAGGCTAGTGTTTTTTGTACTTAAATACGCTATGTTCAATTTGTTCTTAAGTACTTTCAGTAGTTACAAACCTTCTTTAATTAAAACACATCCCATATATAAATATCTTATAAAAATATCAAACGCGAGAAACATATGCTTGGCAAACGAGAGAATTTAAACTTACATTTATAGCATCTTATTACTCAAATATCTTATGTGCTTCAGTACCTCTATCCATCTCACTTTAGGTCTGCTTCTCCTAATATGTTTTTGGGTAATCTCTCTGTTTTCATTCGCTGTATCTGTCCTCTCCATCTTAGCTTATAACTCTTTCTTGTATCTACAATGTTAGCTTGGTCAAATAGCTCTTGCTTCTTCTTTTCATCTATCACCGACTTTCTTATCTTATCATCCATCTTTTGCTTCTAATTAATACTGTAGGTTTCAGGACTGATTTGTAAATTCTTAGTTTTGTAGTTCTACACATCACATAATAACCTACTTTGAATTTCTTGTTTTAGATTTGGTTGTCCAGTAAATTTTTGCTCCCAAGTAGTAAACGATTCCAAGTCCTTTGCTGCTGTTGTGTACTTTGTATTTATTTTCATTCATTTATTTTAAGTCTTAGTCAACGGGACTAAGAACTATTACTTGAAAAATAAATTTTCACCACAAAATCTTGAATTAATACAGCGACTTCTATACATTCTGTTCAAGGACGCGCACGAGGGCGAGGTCAACGCTGTCAAATGGAGTCCCGTGGATCGGCTGGTGGCGACGGGCGGTGCCGACAGGAAAGTGAAACTCTGGGATGTTTCGAAAGGCAAGCCCGACTTTTTTTTTAATTTATTTTGTTTATTTGATCTTGGCCGCGCCGCAGGGTCCCATGAGTACAAAGGGGTTTTGGTTGGTAGCAATGCGGGCGTAATGGCGGTTGATTTCGACCCTTCGGGGTCCCTGCTTCTGGGCGCCTCGAACGACAACGCTATCAGGGTGTGGACGATTGTCGACCAGCGGATAAGGGTGAGTGTTTTTTTTTGTTTGGTGTTTATTTTTTCAAATAGTGTGGAAAAATTGCGGAGCGACGTGGAAAATGTTTTTTACTTTTATTTCTTGATCAGTTTTTTCGGAGGGTATAATTGATTATTATTGGCGATTTGCAAAGTGGTATAAGAAAAAGTGTTTCTTTGTTTACTGGTCAATTTTTTGTTTTTTTTTTATAAATAAATATGGAAGTCGTAAATGAAAGGCCGGAAACCCAGTGTAGAGCAATAATAATTTTTTTTCGCGGAATAAAGAAAAATGTATAGATTTTTTCATTTTTTCCTTGTCGGAGGTTTTTATTTTTCAGAAAAATGTCTGTTTACATTTTTATTTTTTTTTTATGTGAAATATGAACCATTAGTACGTCAGAAAACCCGGTGTAAAGCAAAATAAAGTAATTGCCCTACGTATATAAAAAACAAACGCACAATGATAAATGTCGGCGTCTAACTCGGAACAGTTTTCCATCTTTTGATGTCCGAGCGTTCATCACTCATTCCCTCTGATTTATACCGGAGCGTCACTTCCAAGTTTCCCGGTCTTAACGCTTGCGTCCCTATTTTTTCACCTTTATCCATCTGACATGCCGGACGTTCGTCAGAACGCTTCGCTTAAAAAGAAGACGAAGAAAAAAAAGGAAAAAAAAAATAGTACCGGACAATCGAAGCGGAAGCGGCGCCGCTGCCGTTATCTGGACGTTGTCGCCGCATTCAGCTGTTCGTCACTCGAACACAAATGCACCATATATACAGGTGTTTTGTTCGTGGCGGGAAAGTTCTGGAAATTATTTTTAAGCTACAAAAATTCTCTCAATAAGTTAAATTGGCGTGTCGTGTCTGATATCTAAACGATTTATCGGATTTCAAAGGAAATGTGAGTATTTCCAAATGTCCCATACATTTGTCTCGAGAGTTTCAAATAAAATCACAATTCGCAACAGCTACTACAATTTTTGTCGCGTACAGTGCTTTGATATAGTCATAGTACGTTAAAATTGCAAGAGTTATTGTTTTCCTGGGTACGTGATGAATAGTTCTTTATTTAATTTTACGGTTGTGCTTCATTTTTATTTCGGTTTGCGTCATTTTAAAACTTATTTTAATTAAATTAAATTTTTACCCGAATACAACTTAAGAAGGTTGCCCCACAGGTGTCGGCATGGCGTGATAATAACACGAATCGCAGTTAAAAGATATATTTAATCAAATTAGCACAATTAAGGGTCCGACGTCGCACGCGACGCGTCGACCATCAAGTTAATAAGTAACTTAACATACAAAATAAAACGATTACCTAAATATTATCATTAATAAAATGACGTTTAAGTTAATATGGTATTCCGTAGGGTACGTGGGGCGCGCGGGCTCCCCTGCCTTTCCAGGGTGACCCGCGCGGACGAACCTCGGCCCCGGAGGACAAGCTTTCTTAAATAAAACGTTTCGCTCGTGTAAATCTCATTCACTCTTTGGGCACGCGCGCTCGATCGTCCTCGGGGCCTCGCAAGTCCGCCCGCCCCGCAGGCGAAATCGTCACCCCTTCCCCCACTCCTCCGGCTGCGTTCGTTCTTTCTCGGGTCGCGTCGTGACTTCCGAATCGCCCGGCCGGGCCGGGCGCTAAGTCGATCGCGCAAGCGCTCTACCTCTCTCTACCTTAACACTTATCACGAGGGGGCCTTAAGACTACGTTAAATCTATACGTCGGGAGCCGGAGGCGTGGTCGGCGGGTCGGGGGCCGATCCTCGTAGAATCCGACACATTTTAGAGGACGGGATGTAACCATTAGAGTGATTGTCCATGGCAAAACCAGCTTAAGGTTTTAAAGAATTCATAATTGGCGGTCCTAATTTGTGTTTTTTTTTTCTAAACGCTCCCGTTTCCAATAAAAATACAACCATGAAGAATTTCAAATTCACTGTAACACTAACTAACGGTCGTGACGTTAAACGCGTTTGACGAAGTTGCATTTAATCGCGATTTTGCAATAATGAAAATGTCTCCCTTTAAATACCCCAAAATAGTGCAGTAAAACAAATATTTTTAGGTTAATAATCTCGTTCAGATGTAAGCAATTAGATCACCTGGCCGGAACGCGCAAAACTTTAAACATTCTTTACTCAGTTATTTTTGAACTTTATGAAATAGCACGTTATCGCCCGCGAATTTTGGCCGCTGTCCCATCGCCCTATGTGTCGAAGTCTGCGCATGCAGGTAAAAATATAGGCGCGACATATGTTAAACAGAGTTGAGTGTCGTCGGTTTTTATACACAGAATGGGTTTGAAAGTGGCGGGGCGGCTTTTAGAAGCGGCGTGGGTGGGGGTAACCGGCGTCGTACAGCTTGCTTAGGCTCTCGGCGCGTCCAGCGCTGATCTGCGACGGGATGCTGATGTTGTCCGGGAACAGTTTGTCGCTCGATTTTCGTTTCTGCCAGACGAACGTCCAGACAGAGACGACGGCGAGCTGAACGGCTAGGAAGAGCGCGGCGGCCATCGCGAGACCCGCGACATTGACGCAGAAACCGGTTGCGACGGTACCGTCGGTGACGTAAATCGCCTCGTTTCCGACAGAGCTGCGGTTCGAGTCGCGTTCGAATCCGAACTTGTCCGTGATTTGGATCGACTGGACGAGCAGCAGGTCGTCCTGTGGCTGCGACGCTGCTCGACGACGTCGTCGGCGCCCGTAGGAGATCACCGACCTGAGTTCCCCGGTACTTTCCTCCTGGTCGCACTGTACCGGTTCGCAGGACGGCATGCAAGGGGTGACTAGCGCCCGGAACTGTACCACCTCGGACGACGGGAACTTGAACGCATCGAAGTGAGACAGCAGGATCTGGAACGGACACGGTTTAGTTGAGGCTGGTGAAGCTCGAGCACCGCGACAGGGTCGTTTAACAAAGCGGAAGAATCGCCAAACTACGAGACTTAAAATGCGAGTTATGATTGGTCGACCATTAGAACCTTGCGCCTAAAATGTTTAAAATCGCTCAAACCTGATATCATTCGCAATCGACGCTCAATTTGACACCCCGTGTACCGTAAAATCAAGACCGTGTGGCCATCTGTCCACTAAACCCTTTTGTTGGCGGGTTAGAAATCTGTAATTTTGGTGTCTAAATCTTGCTCGTTGGTCGGGGGAGGACGCTGAACAGGCGTATTACTACTACTTATGAATTTCAACGTAGCCAAGAGAGCCATTTGTTGGAAATTGATGAATAAAATGTCAGTTGTTTACTAATCGCGAAAACGCTTTAAAAATATTGAAATAACACTAGCACTTCGAATTTTTCTACAGCGATGTTAGTAGATGGGGCGTCACGGTTCAGCGGCAAATTCCCGCCAATAAGAAAATTTACGCCCGATAATTCGATAAGAGATTCTACTAAAACCCTACCCAACGGAATGTACCGTGAATAATATTTATGGGTAAAATCTTACCTTGCCGGACAGGGCGGACTTGTAGATCGGGCCCATGATGAAGTGGTCGGTGGGACAGCCGTCCGAATCGATTAGTACTATTTCGCTGGAGTCGACGCCGTCCATGGCGACGAGCTCCCTGACGAAGATCTCGTACGGGCTGTTCTTGTCCAAAATTTCGAATTTTAACGCGAGCGGGTCGCCAACTTCCGCCGACTGCATAATATCTTCGCCGCTACGGTTGGTTATTTTCATCGCGACGTTGGGAGAATCGACCGTTACCTCTTCGGAAAGAGCTGCGAAGCAAAGTGAACCGGTTCGTGAAAAATTTCTGATGAATTCCTGAATATAAGCCTTTGGAGGCAAATTTTATTTAGAGTTTTCTTTTTTCTTGTACCTTAATATTAATGGCAGATAACGGCAATAAGAAATGGTTTATATTTAATTTTTCAAGTTTTCTACCTTTTTGGATTTTGGTTATCTTTCTTTGAACTTTGACTATTTTTCACGGTACCACTAGTAATTTCATGCTAGTGTCAATTAATTAGCATTTTTCTTCTTGTGGTGACTATGGTCGCAGTAATCTACATATAGTCGAAACTCTATATAGCAAAATTGAAGGGACTGCTTTTTTTTTGTTATAGTTATATTTAGTTGTATGAAAAATAACAATACGCATATGTGTTCTGTAATATTTAATTATTTTATATAAATATTTTAACATCTACTTAGGAACATTTTATATAAATATTTAAGAACTACATTTAATGTTTCAAATAATCGGTCATTTTCTTTTGAATTTTTTTAGTACGCGAATACGCATTTCGTACTTTGGCTTGTATTTTCACCATTTCTTCGAGAGGGACGTGATACATAAAATAATTCTCTAGCAGCTTAACTGAATATAGGGCTTGTTGAATGGTTAGTGGTAGTCCCAGATCAACTTCTTCATCTTCTTCTTCGTCTTGGTGCTCTTCCTCACCCTTTCTTGCTTGTTGTAAAATGGCTTCCTCTGTCAAGTCTGCTGTTGTAGGCAAATACTGATCTATCACCATAAAATCTTGCAACTCCTCACTTGTAAACGTAATTGTTGTTTGAAACTGCTTTATTCACTCGCTTAGCAGCTGATCATCTCCCAAGTCCTGTTCGTATTCCGTCTCTGTAATAAGTCCTGCATGACGATAGGAGTGTTGAATTCTGCTGTCACCTCTTTCCGAGCTTTACTAATAAAGTTGACTGCATCTAACATATTAATGGAAAATTTGTTATACGTTCTTTAGAAAGTTTTCCACCCACACACTTTTCGCTTCGAAATTTAAGAGTTTTATCTGGCGTCATTTTGTAAAAAATACCAGTTTCGTCAGTATTAAAAATGTCGTCAGCGGGGTACTTTTCTGCTAGTTTTGGCCACGTCTTCTCCAGCCAATCGTTAGTGATGTTTCTGTCGACATCACGAGCTTCGCCACTTATCTGTCCATAATTTATACCATGTCTCTGTTTGAACTTCCGAAGCGATAATGCCAAACTTTTCTGCTTTTAGTTTTACGATATGTCCAGAAAGTGGTACATTTTTAAGACTTTGCTGTTGGAACCACTGCAATGTTGCCCTATCCAAAACTTGGCTTTCTTAGTTTTTGCTAGAACTGTTTGCCGCTTCAGCCTGAATGATTTTTTCTTTGCACTTCCAAATCGTGGATACAGTCGACGGTGTAAGTCTCAACGTTCCACATCACTTTTCTTTTCTCCCCGTTCTACCTCCCGAATTAAAGCATCTTTATCATCTAGAGATAAAATTGTTCGCTTACTCGCCACGCTCGCCTTATTCACTAAGTCAAATTAGAACTGATTGAAACAATGGTGTGTTTTTATACATACCGATAAGGGCATTAACATAATCGCTCATTACGAGAAAAACACTTAGGACGACCAGGTTCTCGGTAATTAAACTATTAGGGTAAGGAATTCTGAGAAGGTAAGATACTCTATTGATTATAAGTCTACCTAAATTCTTTACTTTGTTACCTGATACCCTTTTTTCTTTCGGTACAGAGAGTGAGAAATTCGTTATATAGAGCTTTGTATGGAGGCCTAGTAGTTCAACAAATTTTCTTCGTAATACAGAATTTTATGTTGTACAGAGTTTCGCTGTAGGGAGTTTTCACTGTATTATCGCCAAAAGGTTTTTGCATTGTATATTACATGATCTGATGATATGGATACACGTTTACATAAAGAAAAAAATCTCACAACAGTATTTTGGTATTCCTTGCCTATTGATTTAGTTGTCACACAAATTTGAAAAGAATATTTAAAGCTTTTGCCTTTCCAAGTAATAAAAAATGTGTGTATTTTGAGTCTTAAATATTTTGCATTTCTGAGTATATCATTTTTATGCGCTTGTTTCGATCTTTTTTACAAACATTTCAAGAAAATATTTTTTGATCACCAAATAATTTCGGCAAGAGTATATAGCTAAATAAAATAATCAAACAACTAGAACAAATTTGATTGGATTGGTCAATTGACCAGTTCTTAATTGCCTAATCAAAAAATGTTTTAAATAGCACCTTGTAGTAATAATATAATGAATATCCGAATACGATTCTCAGCGATCATTTGGTTCCCAGCACGACGCCACAATATAAATAAATAAACTTGACCGGTCAATTCCACAACCCTAGTCCTATCTCAATATTTTTTCATTTTCGCTTCAAAAATTCGGGTATTGTCAACCTCGGTAGGTCCTTTATATATGTAGCGATCACCCGGTACAGTGCGACGTGGTTGCTCTTCGCCGTAACAAGCGCAGTCGCCGTAGATGGGCCCGATAGATTACTTTTCGATAATGCGTTCCTCCTGGCGATTTTTCTGCACAATCACGCCGCAAAATGAAGACGACATTTAAGTAGCCCCGGCCCCCTGCCGTTACCACGCGCTCCGTTTACCCATAAAAAAAAAGATGGCGATGACGGTGCGCGCGCGCTAGCCTTTAAAAAAAACGCCTTCGAATGCAGGCGATTGCGCCGCAATTACTGGTGACGGTAATCGATGAGGACGAAACTCTGCGTTGTTTTTCTCGTCGTCGAAAAATTCGATTCTATAATAATGTACCGGGTGATTTACGGCTGAGTTTGTTGCGCGCTCGTAGCTCTGTTTTAGAAATACTGACTCAAGTTGCCAAATCTGTCATAAACTAATTGGAATTAGAATAAACTAAATGGAACGGCTAACATTTTTTAGGAATGGGACTTCAAGATGACTTTTGGGGTAAACTCTGTTCATAGATATAAGAAAGTGACAAACTGATACGAATTAAGGAAAGACCCGGGCAAGCTGTAAGAATGAAATATGGCCGAACAGGTCCGTAATTTCTTTAGAATTTAATTATTTAAGGTTTTGTTATGAAAGATACTAAACAATATTTATTTATTTATGTATCTATTTATGTTTAAATCTAAAATAAAATTACAAATTGTTTTTATTACCTACTTAAATTACCTAAAATTATTCACATAATATATCAGTATCACTATCGCTATCATCGCCTGTTCTAATTATTATTCTGTATTATTTGCAATATGGATATACGATTGTCCTGCTTTTTGTACGATATATGTTTAACAGAATTTGCCCAACTTTGTGGAGGGATGTTAAAAACTTCAGTTTCTATAAGTTTGGGGACATTGGAGTTAACACGACGAATGGCAGATTTCAGTTGGTGCCAAACATGGTTCAATGGGATTAAATATACAGTGGCCTTAAAACTGTATGCCCTAGATTTTTTGCATAATTATCACAGTCGTATTCCTGTTGTAGGTTCAAGCTTTGTAGAACCTCAATAAATTGCGTTTTGGTATAATCTTCGTGAAAATAAATGTTGTTATTATACATGTAGTTTTGGATTGTTGCTTTTGTATCACATGAGGAAGGGGTGATAACTTGCATTGTCCATTACAATGACGCTATTGGGAGGAATGTTTGGAACTAGTTTGTTTTTAAACCAACATTCAAATAAATCAGCGGTGGTGTCTTCATGGTAATCCAGAGAAGAATGTTTAATATTTTTCGCAGACAGAGAAAGTCCATTTGGAATCCAACCATCTTTAGGGCCAGCATGTAAAATAAGTATTCTTTTACCTCTTTTTGATGGCGCGTTTGTTTTACACTTATCAGTTGAGTGAACCCAACCCTTTTCCGAGGTATCATAAGTGTCGAACCAGGTTTCATCCAAGTAAATAATTGACCTTCGTTGTTCTCTGTAAATCCTATTTTTTTCTAGATATTCCAGTTGCCATTTCCGAATTCTAAAAGATTCCATTAAAACTTGCCTTTTGTCAATTTTTTTAAATCTAAAACTCATGTGCTAAATACTTACTTCCGTAAGGTAGTTCTGCCACATTTAACACCGGTTTCGTCTGTTTCAAGCCCCCTAATTGAGATATCTAATGTAGGCACGCTTTGTTCCTCGTATAACTGATAAATTTTACGCCGTATTATATCTTGATCACTTTCATCTACACTCGAGAAAATTATTCACAATTTTCCATATAGTTGATGTTGGAATTTTCGTCAATGTGGTCGTTTCTTCTAAAGATGCTTGCTTGCTAGCACTAATTTCAATGACTAAGGAAGTTATAAACAATGTTTATTTGACTAAACATTGTTTATAACTTCCTTAGTCTCAATAGAATAGTGTTTTCTACATTTGGGCGGGAGCATCTTCTGAGATACACTAGACTCGCCACATATTTTGCATAATTCGCACACGCTGTATTAAACACGAAATAAGAACGATTACTAATAAACTTAAACTAAGTAGTATACCTAACCAAAGAATATTAAACACAGGTAGGTATAAAATTATTTTCTGTTACGGACCACAATTTTACCTGAATTTAAATTCCGAAATTTAGGTAATAATCTTATTGCATTGTGTGTTAATGACCACCCTTGGATAATCCCATTCAAAAGCAATTGGTCGCTTTCTTATATCTGTGAACAGACCATACTTAGAAGAACCCTTCGGTGATCCAGATGTTCGTAAGACATTTTTAGACTTCTGAAAACTCCTAATCTCTTACTAACAACCCAAAACGCCCTGTGCATATCGCATCGATGCGCTTATTTTTCCGAGTTGCACTTTAGAAGCAGCTGCGCGGTTTGTTATGCAGATTAAAACGGAAAAGAATTGTAATGCAGATTGGGACGGTGCGAGCTTTTAATGTTTAACCGTTCGATATCGATCTAGGGCCCCAGTAATTAAGAGGCCATCAGCTAAGTGCGTTCAATTTATACGCGTCAATCTGACGCGTTAATTTTTTGTACCTTCCGAGGAATCAAATGTTTAAAATGACTGCGGCTGTACCTGGCGTAATATCTCCGCGCACTCCCAGATCGACTTCGTTCGTGACGCTTTTGTTGGTTAGGTCGTATTGGCAGGTGACGGCGAGGCCCAGGTCGCTGCTGGTGATGATTTTGTCGTGGTGCTGGATGACGACGTCGTTGACGTATCTCCCGAGGCCGTTCTTGCGCACGTTGCACTCGAGGTTGTCGTAGGCCATGCTCAGCTCGAATTCCAGACTGTTGTTGACGTCGCGCACGCAGGAGTTCGGGCTGCCTTTCGCGTAGATCTTGCCGTCGAACAGCTTGCTCGTCTGGATGCGGGCTACCATGTCGCCCGACTTGCAGTCGATACTCACGTTGTAGCAGGAGCTTAATTCGTAGGTGGCCGCTTCCGGTACTTCGAGATACGGGTCCTGAGGGAACGGAATCCAAGCGTTACGATCCTAAATTGTACCAGTAATAGGCGCGTGTATAGTTTTATACCTGGATGTCGACTAGGGTCGCTCTAGAGTGATGGCTCAGTCTGCAGACCATATCGCCGGTGTCGCCATAGTCGTACGAGTGGCACCTGTAAGGCGAGTTGAGGCAGAGCTCTCGGCACTCGTCGATCGAGCCGACGTCTTGGTAGACGGAGTCGACGGTCTTCAGGATGCGCCCATTCAGCTTCTTGAACTCGCACAGCTTCGTCGGTTCGTCGATGCAATTGTTTTCCATGTACTCGTATCCTTCGGCCGCAGCGAAAGCGCTCGTGCCGGTCAACGTGATCCTGTCCATCGAGGACAGTTCGCAATCGCCCGTCGAGTTGTTGAAATTCGCCGATCTGGAATTGGATTTCCCTTGTTACGTTACTAACTTTTTTGGATATTCGATATTTTCGTAAAAACTTTGGGGATTTTCGACCTCAACATCAAAAGTGTAGGAAGATAAGCGGTTCAGCGTACATATATTTTTGTTTTGTTTTGTGTTCGAATATATTGAAAATGATTTTATGAAAATCGAAGAAGATTTATCTTCTAACACAAACATACAAAAGGTCAGGAAGAAGCCCAGACCAGCGAGTTATAAATACCTTTTTGTTAGAAATCGAAATTTTTGCGATGCTTATCGGGTGCAAGACTAGCGTACCGCCCAACGAGTAAAAGTTATGATCATTAAGCAAGACGTTCGACAAGTACCACGACCGCAGATGTTAAACACGATCGGGTTGCGATCGGCACCAGATGCGTTTCCTTTTGAACCGAGATGATCGAAACCAGTCCACGGTTGACTAATACAAATACCCGCGAAGATTGACAAACCGAACATGAGAGAACAGACTACGCGACTCGAGACACACGAGGGGAAACGAAAAGATAACATTTATTATAAACGGCGGTAATACGTCGAGGGTGCTTGTAAGCGGGCCGCATAAGATAAAATTAACTTGTCGGCAACGTTATTATCCGGTTTATCCTCGAGATTAACAATGCGATAAAATCGGATGGTTTCATTCGGCCGGTTATGATCGGGCATAAAGCGCCGACGTAGAGGACACTTTTAAACGGGGTTATGTCTAAATACCGCCGTTGGAGGTGTACAGGGTGCACGCGGAAGAACTCGCGGTCGCCTCTCGGGAAGCATTAAACCAAAAGCATGAATTTTATTACCGAAGTGGCTTGCTGGAAATTATTTCCAAATTCTTAGAACCTCCGCTAAAATCTGTTGCCAATATTGTTTGAATCATTTTGCGCTCTTTACCTAAATGATCTTGTTTAAAAGTCAGTTGTCAACTTAAAAACCTTTTTTTTAATTTTTGAAACGCCATTCTAAGAAAATTTGAGAATGAAATGATTTATTTGCTTTGGCGTCGATATTGATGACAATTTTTCTAAACAAAAAAAAATATATTCATAACATTGCAAGATGTAACAAAGATACAAAAAGTACAACAATCAATAACAGTACGCTCTTCCTAGTAATATGAAAGGAATGCACATCAACAGAGAAATATTGCAGGAACCGCGACCAAAATCATTCAGAGCTGGGGGGTTTGATATCTGACTAACTTGTCAGATATCAAACAAGTGTACATAAATTCAAACCTAAGAAAAATAGCAACACCAACACTTACAGTTGCTAAACTACCAAGTTTTGACTAAAAACAGTCTGGAATTAAAACTACTGAGAGAGTCAGAAAATAAATCAGTATGCTCGTAATTTGTGAGTAAAATATTTGTCAGCTTGCACATTCGATTCATATGCGAGTTAATGCTATAGTTGGTCCTATAAAAGGCAATGTTAAAAAGAGCCTTATTTCTTGCATTAATAGGAGAAATATGAAAACCAACAGATGCCAGAAGATCTGGTGAATCCATCAAGTTGTTAAGGATTTTGTACAATGTAGCGATGTCAAAAAATAGGTCAGATTCAAAGCTTCATAATGTCCTCGTAGTTTATTTCTTCAAATGACATTCCCAATTTAAAACCTATCCCTCTAAGGAATTTACGCTGCACACTCTCTATTCTTTCCTTGTGAATTGCATAGTATAGTTGCCAGACACAGCTAGCATACTCTAAAATTGAACGCACAAGCGCAGAGTACAGCTCCCTATACGTAAAGATGCTCTCAAAACACTTCAAAGTCCGAAAAACAAACCCAATCGAATAGCTCTGTTAGTGATAAAATCAATGTGATATGTAAATGTGAGCTCCGAATCGATCCAAACTCCAAGATCTTTAACTAGGTTCTCTCTCGAGCGATCCAGAGTTTAAATGATAGGTGAAAGTTACTGGATTTTTGGATCTGATAAAGCTTACAATTTTGCACTTGTTTGTATTAAGAGTTAAACCTAACAAGATCCTCCTGTAATCGATGACAGTCAAGAGGTGATGCTATAACCTTAAAAAGCTTTAAATCGTCCGCAAGTGCAAGAAATTGGCAAAAGCGAAAAATGAAATCGAGGTTTCAGTCTAAGAATTTGAATATGAAGCAGAGACACAAGTAAACCGTCTCAATGGATAACAAAACCTTATACAGCTGTTTTGTAATTTTTGGAAGCTTTCTCTGCAATGTGCCAATAGATAAAATAATGGGATCATATAGTTTCAATTTCACTGGACGGGTAAGAACATTTTGAAACAGATATAAGGTCTTAAGTTTACTTAGTACAGGGATTCGATTTAATTAATTTAATTAATACTTATATTATTTAAAACAGCATCATTGCTATTGCTCAATTGAACGAGCCGAGTTGTTGCAACGGAAATGTTACTTACATCTTTACATCATGATTTATATCAACACCTTATTCAACATTATAAATCAATCAAATGTTACAAATTACCACTGTAAAACATTTTAAGAGCTATTCCTAGTGGGACACCCGGCATAGAGGGTGTCCTTATCTCGAAAACCACCGAATCTAGAACCTCGGAAGAAATGTTTTTTCGACTAAAACGGGTATAAGAAAATTGTGCACATTATTTTTAACCCCGGCATTTCGCCGCAAGGGGGCGCACTAGGCGGCGTGGATAATAAAATTCTCCGAAACTTTGCAAATTACGCTATAATTTTATAAGGAAGCTTGAGAAAAAAAAAACAAGCTCATGCTTGTTTCAGAGTTTCCGTTCGTAGTCGATGGTTTTAAATAAAGTCGCTAGAGTATGGAATTCGCAATAACGACAGTTTTCTTTCTTTCTGCCTCGGACTAGGAAGAACTCAATAAACCATACCGGGAGGGTCTTGGAGGTGCGAAAACTGACGAAGCGGAATAAGAAAGGTCTCGGGACGGTCGTTCCCAAGTGCAAGAGTAATTTGATTTAATATAGTTCCTATCGAAATGCCGTTTCGTACGTTTCCCGTTCGATTACTTACACTTCAGCTTCATGCGAACCGGCACTCAGGGATATTATTCATTCGAACTTATAATTGCATACGCGGTTATTGTTCTACGGGCGCATCAAAAATTCATTTCATTAAGTGACGACTATTTTCGGTCCTGGTATCGTGAAAACCAAACCACTGAAACTGATGTGGATATCTCCCAACTAACATTTTTTTGTTTTATAAAGATAAGGATTACTTTTCGATTACCGAGAACTTATCAATTGTTTTCGTTACTCTTATAAAACCCATATAGCACTTAAATATAGCAATTAAATCAAGGTAAATGTAAATAAGAGTTTGTTATTACATTTATAAGACAAAGTTTGTCGGCTTCACGTTATCATTAGTTTACAATACATTTTTTTTCGTGTCTTTGTTATTGTATTTTCTTTTTGCCTTATCACATTATTATAAAAATCTCTCATAACAACTCGAAAACTCATTTTATTTGGCATAAAAAATTATCGAACAATTTTATATTCTACCCTTTCTAAAACTGAAGCGTCGTCGTTTTAAAACGTAATTTTTGAAGTCTCAACAATATTGCTTAAAATGCGATATTCTCATTTCGTTTATAGAAATATTTATGTCAATTTCAAGTAATAATAAACATTTTGAAAACTTTTAAAAACTTATCTAGGTATCTTATAGCAATATTGTTCTTGCAATAAAACATAAGGTGATTTTAAAATGATTATGGTTTCATAAGTTATCAAAAATATCACTTTTCAGTTATTCGTTATTTATTTTTTAATGTTTTTCTTATAAAACTATTAATTAAAGCAACTAAAACTAACCAACGTTTTTTTTTAGAAAACCCAATTCTGTTTTAGGAAAAGATGCTACTTCTTAGCAAAAGAAAAACAGTAGCGAAGGGGTAGAGTATTTTGTGAAAATATATATCAGACACTCGCTCGAGCGTTAAGTTCATTTATTTATATTTTAGATTTTTTTTTTGCCATTAAACTGCAGATAATTTTTTATACCTACATTTTTGGAGAAATACGTCTTCAAGTTTCAAGAATGTTGCTTACATTGCGTTATTTTCCTTTTGAGATGCGATTTCCACATAGACTTTGAGCCCTTGTTTGGCTATCAAATGAGTTAAAAAGTCATATTGTTGCCTTTTTGTTTTGTGTTTTGTTTGTGTTTATATTCTGGAACCACTTGTATCTCATCGGCGTCGTAAAAAGAGTGGGGATACTAGTGGTTTTCGTTTCATTACTCTGCTGGCACAGCATTAACTTTGGAAAAAGATTTTTCGAGAAAAATGCATGCGTGGAAAAAGCGATCGGCGGTGAACTCGTTTTCAAACGACGGCCTAGGAAAAGTCATTACGGACGGAATCACACAAAAAACTTGAGCGACCACTTCTCGCGGAAAGGCCGACATTTTAAAACGGACTAATAATCTCCGGCAAGCAGATGTTAATGTATTCGAGTTGTTAAAACGGAGTCGGCTTTGTGTAATGACAGTTTTAACAACTGCGTAACCGAAGCACTTGTGTAATGAAATATGGTACGTGGCGCGAATCTCATCGATCTAATCTCGTTTGGTTTGTCTTTTTTTTTTCGACCAACCGGAACGAAAAAAGGGCGGCGGTTTCGATGCCCCGAGCTTTTATTGGACGATAGATGATATTTTGATACGGGTTTTATTCAAAAATTACTCTGCATAAGAAAGAAAAATTCCATGCGATTTACACTGTGGCCAGTTTGAACTTGGAACAACCCCTTTTAAATGTCATCTTGAATTAATTTTCTTTTTTACTTTTTAACCGCATGCTGGTACAAATTTTCAAACAAAAGTCTTTATATACAATAGATGTAACAATTATGGAAATATTATATAGACATGGATGAAGACAAAATAACAGTTTTGCTTTAAACATCCATAAATGCTTGATTTGAGATATCGATAGAGATATCAATACAGTACGAATGGCATTTGCGAAT